TAGGGCCTATTCCTAATGGCCTATCAACTTATAAATCGAATGTCGGCTGTTTTTCTTGACACAGAAAATCGGAGATGAGTGAGGTGTCACATACGAATTCATAAAGTCATATCAGGTCAACGTACTAGTGGCTTACTAACAAAATAACTGAACGAATGAATGAAATGAACGATGAAAAAGACACAAAATTAGCCTACTTCAAGCTGTCCCACGTACACTATCTACGTCAACAACTCTATGGCAATCAAATCCATGCCTAACCCAAGTTTTGGACCAGCTTTTTCACTCCATTATATAAGAATCAATTATAGTAAACATCTTTTTAATAACTAACTTATATCAGTAAATTACAGCACCAAAATACCTCCATTGACCTACGATGTACCATCTTTGGTTTTCAACACAGAAGAGTCGAGAACGACCTTGACATATTAACCTCTATACTTATTATTCAGAACATTCAAAACTTTCGTAAATTGGTCTTTCTAAAATTATCTCGAATACAATTGTCTAATATTATAAATTTGGGAACAATCTATTTTTAGATATCTTTTAGTTATACTGAAAATGCGATATTACAGAAATGCCTTAATTGATCTGTAGGAGTCAATTGTGCAATTGTGAGAAACATTTAGCAGTAGGCCCTTGGGTATGTAAGACTACAGGCCATGTCTATACTAAAAGGCCAACGGAAATATCTGTGTTTAATGTCTTATATGTATAACAAAGGGTGATTTAAATTTGGATGAAAGAAGTGGCTTACTCTTGTTTGTTGTGATATTTAGTAAAAATAATATATATATTGGCCTAACATCATTGTGTGAAGGTTTGAAGGCCTATGAGTTTCCAAATCCTAACTTATGTACTCCATTACATAACTTCATCCTATATACTAATACTAGCTTACATCATCATTTATTAACCTTATCATTGATCATCATGATCATGTATTATCCTTATAATTTATCATTGATCATCATGATCATGTATTATCCTTATAATTTATCATTGATCATCATTATCATGTATTATCCTTATAATTTATCATTGATCATCATGATCATGTATTATCCTTATAATTTATCATTGATCATCATGATCATGTATTATCCTTATAATTTATCATTGATCATCATGATCATGTATTATCCTTATAATTTATCATTGATTATCATTATCATGTATTATCCTTATAATTTATCATTGATCATCATTATCATGTATTATCCTTATCATTTTTGAATTATCATCATTATCATGTATATCAATTATCATCATTATCATGTATATCAATTATCATCATTATCATGTATATCAATTATCATCATTATCATGTATATCAATTATCATCATTATCATGTATATCAATTATCATCATTATCATTTATTATCCTCATCATTTTTATCAATTATCATCATTTTCATGTATTATAATTATCATTTCTTATATTTATCATTAATCATCATATATCATTCATATTATATATCATTACCATAAAGATCAATAGGTCTATCATCAATTTATCATTCTTCTTCATTTATCATCATCATAGTCTTCATCATCATTTCCCATTTATCATTAGTTTATCATATTCATCAACATCATTCACAATTTATCACACCATTTATCTTTAGTTTATCATTCTTCACCATACATCATCATTTAGCATTCATCTACAATTATCATTTTTATTATCATCATCTTGCATAATCATCACACATCATTGGATGTATTATCAGTTTATTATTTTTATCATTATCATTTAGCCTATTTTTATAATAAAAAGTCTACAACTGTAATTGTAATGAATATAAAAGTATGGTATAAAATCAAAATAACTCTATGTTTTTATTCCATTAGTATTGAAATCTTAGAATTGGAATCAAACAAGATAGCTGGGGAAACACAAAAAAAATATAAAAGAAAATATGAGAGAAAAATAGATTAATTATACCCCACAGCATATAGACAATTTAATATGATGAAACCTTAGAAAAACACTTTGAAATCATACAAGTTTCAATCTTCAAGCGAAACGAAATGGATAGAAGTATTGTTTCATAAACAAAAAATATCACCATACATGAAGTATACATGGCACTATAGATTCTGATGTAATTTAATGAGACATTTCAGTGAAATGTGGGTAAAAAATAACAGAAAAAACAAATCACAAAGATTTATTTGAATCAAAGGGTACAGACATTTACCTGAAACAACTTGTCAATGAAAGTAATTCATCAACAATATATTCCTCAAGTCAAGAAAATCGATCAAATTAATTTTTATTTTACCTTATTTAGATTAATCTAATTCACAAAAAATGTCTAATGTCTACCAATAGTTCTACAAGTGGCTTTATTCATTATTCCAGTCGACCCAGCTGTAAATGCGTAAGCAGAGCCTGGGAAAGATCAATGCCAAGAGGTTTGGCCAAGAACCAGCTGGTAGAAAGGATCCTTAACTGTAAACCTAAGTTGTTATCCTTGTAAAATATAGAATCATCTCCCTGGCAGTATTGGATCTCTAATGTGCTACTGTTAATGAATGAATCAAAAAAATCTGTGGTATCCATTTTCATCTTCACAATGTCAACGTATTACAACACTTATACCTTGACTGCAATAGTCACCTTGCAGCAATTTGATTGGATTGTACGTTAGTGAATACAGCCAATCAGTTTCCTCTACCGAAAGTGTGTAAACCTAAGCCGTAATGTTTACAGCTTTTCTATCAAGGGCTCTGAATGGCTGTATTTTAATCCAATCAAATTACTGCATTCCATGATAGAAAAAAGATGTACATTTGTATATATTTATAGAGAATTTACATTTCATACTTAATAAATCGACTGTCAGTCTTCGTTTATTTCAGTATTACATAATTAAAAAATGCATTTCCTTAATACTTAATTTATAATTGTCAACAGCCATCCTTTTACCCTAGATTCACTTCAAGATCCAAATTTTTTAACTTATTAGACAAAAATATTATTTTGATTTTGATGTCCTCTTTTAAGTCGTGTTTTAAGCTTTAAATATTTTTTTAAATTGTTTTTTTAGGCTCTAAGATGGCTTTAAATATTTTTTTAAATTGTTTTTTTAGGCTCTAAGATGGCTTTAAATATTTTTTTAAATTGTTTTTTTAGGCTCTAAGATGGCTTTAAATATTTTTTTAATTGTTTTTTAGGCTTTAAGATGGCTTTTACAAATTTTTTTTATTGTTTTTAAGGCTTTAGATTTTTTAAAATTGTTTTTAAGCCTTTAAGATGGCTATAAATATTTTTTCAATTGTTATTTAGGCTTTAAGATGGCTTTAAATATTTTGTTTAAAAATAGTTTTTTTCGGCATGGAAAACTTTGCCTAAATTCTAATAGTTGCATTTAATACTCCCTTGGTCTTAAAAAGCCAAAATACTTCTACCAAAAGAAGTGAATTGTTCGTTCAGTCGACAAACCTACTATTTTGATAGTCTGCAAGGCCTCTCTGGTACACCCTATGTTGTTGAATGTTGCCCCCAAGGAGTACTATAGTACCTTAGGGTAGGAAAAATGATTATTGATAATAAGATCTAAATCCTATTCAAACATTGAATCAATGAAAATAAAACATTTTATTATTATTTTCATTTCCTGATTCTACTTTCTCTTCTTGTCAACGCTTCATAATTCTCCTTCGATTTTTAGAAAAAACAATTGATTATTACAAAATCAGATAAATAACCAAGCTTATTATTATTATTTATAATGTTTCCATGGAGTTCTGATTTATTTATACTATATTAAGAATTAGAGGTAAACTAGGCTACTGTCATTATCTATAAAAACAAATAGTTTATTGGAGTCAAGATTTTAAAGGTATACAGTTTTAAATTTTTATAATGATTTACAGTAGCTTATAGAATTTTCGAATGCATGTAGCATGAATTCTATAACGCCCTTATGGCCAAACGGTTGGTGAGTTCTGTTAAGAATTAAAAGACAGAAATTGAAAGATATATCTCTTTAAGACCTTGTACTATTACAAGCTATCATATTATGTTGAATGGAACTGACAGACAGACAGCCTTGATAATGTAAAACTATGTATGTGGGCAAAAGACTCTATTGTATGGTTCTCACTTTAATGGAGACATGATTACCAGTCTGTGACTTCCTGCTAGCTAGATATATATATATATATTCACATGTTTACCCTTCTTCTGATGAAGACACGTGTAAATTGTACACGTTTTGTACTTTATTAAAGAAGTGTGTTATACCATAATATATTCCCTTGTGTTTTTTGTTATATGATTTCCATCTGATGACAACACGTGTAAATCGTGTTGAAATGTTTTGTACTTTGTAATTAAAGAAGTGTGTTATACCATAATATATTCCCTTGTGCTTTTTTATTATGTGATTTCCATCTGATGACAACACGTGTAAATCGTGTTGAAATGTTTTGTACTTTGTAATTAAAGAAGTGTGTTATACTGTAATATATTTTCTATGTTCTGTTATATGAAGAAAGGCAATTGAAATGGAATGGGGAATTTCGTCTTCAGAATAAGAGCAGCTGAGGCTGTCCATTGGGTTGTTCACATTACATCTTTAGAATTGGAATAGTTCTCTACCTTCTAATCTTCGTTTCTTGGTCAAAACAAATGGATTGGAATAAAAGGGGAATTTCACACAGGAAGCAGCATTTGGCCTTGAAAATGAGAGCGGCAATAGCTAAGACTGTCCATTGGACATAGCACTCAGAATAAGCCCTTTTTACAAAAAATTTCAGGGGTAAAGTTCTCTGAAGTTTGGAACTTTCACATTTTTCAGAAAAAATAATCATTTTCAAAATTTATCAAATTCAAGTATAAGAATATTATGGGTTTATCAAAAAATATTATTAAAACTAAGGGATGTGATCACTTTAATTATAATTTTAACTTCCTTTTTGTTATTTATCATTGATCGTTAACCTTTTAATAAATGTAATAAGTTTTAATATTTTGATCAATTTAATTAGGAACCACAACATGTGGTTGATGTGGTACACATTTTGACTTCTCGTGACAAAGATGAATCCATTTTGGTTTGACAAAGATCAGTTTTTCATTCTCTGATAACGCCTAAATAATGAAAAAAATAAAGAATTATGAATTCATGTCTTAAAGGCATTCTCCCTCTTATAAAACATATAAACTTCTAATTTTCTCTCATAACCCCTAAATAACGAAAAATAAAAAAATTCATGAATTAAGAATTTGTACTTTAAAGGTATTCTCCCTCATAGATGAATCATAATATTTAATTTTTGAAACAATTAATTACATTACATTAATTACATATGAAACAATGTAAGTCCACTGATGACAAAAACCCCCAAAAACTGCCCCTTTAAAATTAGAGAAGACAACACTCACATCATCAAAGTTGTCGTCCCATTTAGAATTTGTTAATATATAAGTAACATGTTCATTCATATACTCAGAGAGCTCCCTGAAACAGAAAAAAAATTTGATTTCTTGAAAAACATTTTACTCTTGTATGATCCTATTTTAATCTGGCTTTTTTGCTTGACAAAACAGAATAGGCCTTAAGACTGGCAGCTATGTGATGGAACCACAGGCGTTCAATCGCAAGCCATAGGAATGCAGACCATAGAAGTTTGTGATATTATCAAGTTATAATTTCCTGATTGTAGATATAGAGTAGGAGATGCTGATTCTCCTGATGAAAGTTCTGAAGAAGAAGAGGAGAGAAAAACACTGCCTCTTCATGGGACTGATAAGCAGACATGTATCTAACAAACTAACCTACTTTAGCATCTTTGCACTGATAAAATTTTAAATCCCACGATTCAACCCAATTTCTACTCACCCGTTATAAGCTGTAATATATCTGGTCATCAGACGACGTTCTGTCTCACTGAAATCACCATACAGAAAAAATACTTTATCCGTGAAAAAATCTGGTAACTCTGGCAACCCTGAATCAGAACTATCATATTCTGTATCATTGGTTTTCATTGGCTCTTCTGTTTTAATGGTTTTTGTAACAGGCTGTTTGATTGGTGAATCTTCATCAGTAGAACCACCATATTCATCATCTTCTTGTTTCACTGCTGCAGTTTTCTTCTCCCCTTCTACTTTCGCTTTGTTTTGTTCAATTTTTGCTCTGGCTCTGCAAATTAATTGTTTTGCAATCAAAATTAAGATATAATATTATGTTTCTACATTTGTATTTGTATCCTTAAATCTTATATAATTGTAACTGAGTATGTAGGAATTCTTCAGAATGACAAGGACACTGGTTTATTTTTTCTAATATATCTAGGATATCCTAGAATCAATGTTAGAAGATAAGAACCTAGAACATCCTAGAATCAATGTGAGAAGATAAGAACCTAGGATATCCTAGAATCAATGTTAGAAGATAAGAACCTAGAACATCCTAGAATCAATGTTAGAAGATAAGAACCTAGGATATCCTAGAATCAATGTTAGAAGATAAGAACCTAGGACATCCTAGAATCAATGTTAGAAGATAAGAACCTAGGACATCCTAGAATCGATGTTAGAAGATAAGAACCTAGGACATCCTAGAATCAATGTTAGAAGATAAGAACCTAGGATATCCTAGAATCAGTGTTAGAAGATAAGAACCTAGGAAAATTTAAAAGTTACCTTTCTATTTCATCGTCTGTATCATCGTTAGAATCTGTATCACCTCCATATTTACCTACAATTAATATACAATTACATTTTAAACTACAATTTATTAAGCCACGTTTTAGGAAAAATTTACCAGGTTTTGGCACAGGAAATTTTGCAACTACGTGAAGGGAGGGTGGGGACCAAGCTGCAGGACAAAGTTGTGGGAATGTCTCTATTCATGTACACCATTTGAGTTGTCAGTCAGGAGTCTATGAATCATGCAATCCCACTAAACTAAGCGTTTTATGATCTGGCGATTACAAAGGCCCTAAATATCATTAGCGCCATTTGCATTAGGGACATAATAAAGGGTTAAGCATTTCTATAATAACAGGAACTACAGATATCTGACTGAAAATTGGAATGATGCCTAATACAGATAACAAATTAAGGAAGCATTTACTTCAACTTTAATTGAGTTTTACAATAGTGGATTCAGGTGTTTCGAAAAGAGTAAACATTGCCTTTCATAGGAGAAAATTTGTCATATATCCTATATGTGGAAGATATGTAAATTCACATCTAAAAAAATATTATACATAGCTTACTTTCATATTGAGCTTTAGACAGGGTCTTTTTACCTGAATCTGATGATGATATCAAAATAAAAACTACTAATTAACTAAATAAGATTTTAAGCAACTAGCTTTATCAATCTTGAATAGTTTAAGAAAGCTGTCTACTATTTTTGGCTGTTTTATGTACTTATGTTCATCATAATTTTTTCTAAAATGTTTTAATTTTCAAAATTCTTTCAAAACAACATTCATTTGCAACTCAACGTTTCGACTCTAGATTTAATTTTATAAATAAATAAATTTTGTTGGATAGTTAGTCTTATCGTACACCTCTAAGTTTTCCATAATAAGGTCAAAGAAAATCAAGAAAAGTGATGTACCTGAAGAGGCAGTGTTTTTTTTGACTAGTGTTTTTCTCTCCTCTTCTTCTTCTTCAGAACTTTCATCAGGTGAATCAGCATTTCCTACTCTATATCTATAATCAGGAAATTATAACTTGATAATATCACAAACTTCATTTTGGGGAAGGGTTGTAGCTCAGTTGGTTTGAGCAGTGGAATCTTTACATGATGTCATTTGCATGATTATATTAAACAAATAGTTGTGAAATCTAAACCTGGTCAGTGTGTGAAAGTCATTCAGATTTCGAGTTGTATATCAATATCAATAATTAAATGAAACGGCAAAGTAAATACATTTCCTGATGTTTAAATAGAATCGCAAAAACCTCCTTAAATATTTAAATATTATCAACTAAGCTAATGGTCTAAAAATATTTAAATGAAAGCAAAGCAAATGGCTCTCACAATCCTTACATGAAGTAAGCAAAGGCTTCATTAATAATAGTTTATATACACCTACTTTCTCCAATTAAGTAATTTTTTCTGTTTATAACAATCTGTTATCCAGTTTTTATCCACAATTTTACCTTTTCCTTTAACTTGATTGTATTTAGGTGTATTGGTGAACGCACATCTGTAATATAAATATTCAAATTTTACTTAATACTTCTAGTGCACCAAATTTCATGGATTTTTTTCACCATAGGGCATATTTTATATATTAAATTTGTGGATTCCTTATTTTTTTAAAGTTCATAATAAATCAAATTTGTATTAAAATTTTGATTATTTTTCCCAATTTTGATACATTTATAAGAAAAATATAATACACAACTCTCTTATTGTTTGGAAATGGATTTCATAGTTTCAATTCTTATTCTCATTCTAGTAATATTGGCCAAAGATCTTTGCGAACCTACGTTGTTATCCTTAAGAAATCATGGTCAAGAAGTTTGGCCAAGAATCAGCTGGTAGAAAGGAGCGTTTGTGAACCCAAATTGTTATCCTTGTATAGTTGTTGTCTTTTTTTCTTTCTACTTACATCAAATGAGTACATTTTCTACCCCAATCAGGTTTATATGTGGCTCCCATTTCTAACGCCTTGTCTCTGATTTCTCCCCGGTAGGGATTCTGATAGCCACTCATAACAAATACCACCTTCTCCATCAGTCGACTAAATTCTTTACTCAGCGAGGCTTTAGCTGGTTCAGCTATAACAAAATAAATCATTTTCACCTGACGCTGACAAATGTTGAAATGTTGCATAAAATAAGACTCAGGAGAAGTGTACTCTAAAATTATGTTCAGTTATTTAAAATAGGAGGTGGAGGGAGGGGGGGGGTGGTGGGGGGCATGGCCCACCAAAATCCTCACCCCCACTTTCCAATTTATAATCATCTTACATGGGGGAAAGAAGGGCCTGTGAGGTCTATAACTTTTACTTACATTTAACCCTTTTAAGGGGTGGAACTTTACTGTCGGTACTTTTATTAGAATAAGTACTTGTGGTGGAACTTAAACTCGTTGATTGTTTACGTAATGGTGGTTTACTTTCAGTCTTCCCTTCATCATCACTTGCACTATGTTTACGTTTAGGCTGAAATAAATACATCATTGATATCAAATTAATCTAGCAACCATATTTAAACACATCCAGGTCAAGTTAATTAAAATATCTCCCCACAATCTTTCAATTTAACACCTAAATTAATCACTGTAGTGGTGGCTTTTGGTTTGGGAGAAGATTGTGATGATGATGATGATGTTTTTGATGAGGAAAGTAAAGGGGCTGATGAGATATCCTCCCACAACCTTCGCCTTACCCCTCCACCTCTCCCAAAAAAAAATACATGAATTACTTACTGTTGTAGAGGCTTTTGGTTTGGAAGTAGATTGTGATGATGATGGTTTAGATGATGAAGCTGGTGTTTTTGGTGGAGCCGGTGATGGTGCTGCAGGTTTTCTTTCCAAACTAGATGGTGATTTGGTATCTTCTACAAGTTTGGAGGCTGCCCTGATTGCTGCTGGACCTAGTAAAATACATATTAAAGTAAGATTACAATTGCCTTTGTTTTTTTCTGATATATTTTGTCACCATTGTGATCCAACAAGTCTTCCACAACAGTACCGTTCTGTTCTGTTGGTTATTTTTAACCAATCAATGGGTGTCAAAGGTTCAGAACAGTAGATTTTTTCCATTTCTATTTCATGACATTATGTTTAGAATAATTAACGTTTCTGTTATTTTCAGGGCATGTCTTTTAAAGTCTGAAAGGACAAAACGGCGCCAAGTAAATTGTGCCTACTATATACGATATCAGTACCTTTAAGTGGTGTACTTGTATCTGTTTTAGAACGATCAGCGAATATTGAACCTGCTCTGATATCATCATCTTCAGATGGTCTTATAGTGAAGGCACCCAACTTCTTGACTGTCTTCTACAATGAGATATTATTTATGAAGAATTTTGTAATTATGAAGGATTTCATTAACAGGTGTCTAGAAGAGGACACTTTCTCATTTATCAAATATGTCAGGAATTCTTAGATCTTCTGTACAAGTAATATATGTAAAGAAGACAGGTTGCACAAGTTTCCTTGTTAGGTGATCTTTCAAATGGAAGCAGAGTGAAGTACCAACACTATAAATACATCTCTTATAAATGTATATCTGCTATGAAAAGGAATATCAGATATAAAACTTATGGTAACTTACTGCTGGTTCTTCAGTTCCATCTGAGGGGGAATGAAATCTTATAAATGAAATACCATAAGGTGTATTCTAAAAATAGATCATAAAAATCATATCTTTAGTTGGCTAAATGATAATCAATATCATAATATATAGACATTTAATAATCAAAAACTGTAGATAAACCTAAATATCATTTCAGCTATCTTATCACTTTTAGAATTTAAATCTGAGATCAGGTTCTACTGCAATTACCAAAGACGTACCTTGAAAGTTTGTCATTATCTTTAAAGCTAACCCACAGATTTCAAGTTGTTTTAAGGCTAAAAAACTGTGCACTATACATTCAAATATACAGTCATACAATCAGACTTACTTTATTAAAAGGCTGCGTACAGACAATCTTCACCCTATCCCAGTTCTGTCCTGAAACAGCCTTGGAGAGTTTTTCAGGACCAAACATTCTAACAGCATTTCTGTTAGTACCATTCCTACTCTCTATTGGCGTCATAAATGTTGAGGCTACTAGAATTACCTGAAATATATTTTTAGCTTTGAATTCAGTTCTTTACATACTGAGACATAAAACTCTATTCATTTCATTTAATTACACATAACATGTGTAGAAATTTATCCATCAGTAGAATTTTTCCAACAATTTAGGAACTTACTCAAGCTAAGAATTCAAATACTTTTTAGTTTAAGCAAATCTCTCCGATAGCACACATAAAAGTTTCAATGATGGAAAATGCTACTGTGCAATACCCTTATTTATAACATAGGGGAAATAACTCCTTTTTAACAACCTGATAAAATTGATCAACCCTTCTTTCAGTCCTGAATTAGAAAACTTCTTTACAATCCCTTTAACCTTCATTTCTAAACCATGCCAGTATCTTGAAAATAAGGATAAGTTTCAATCCCTTTACCTGATAATCTTGATCTGAAACTGCTGTAGATTTCCCCACCAATATTTCTATAAACCCTGAACCTTCATTACCAATATCTATACATTGTATCTGAGATGACTTCTCAAACTAAAATATCAATGAATTTATCATTATCAACTTCTTAAAACTACATAAAATCATTATCAAGTTTTTATCCTCACTTAAAATGTTAGCTGTCATTGTCAGTTTGCTAAATGTACCAGTATCATAAGATTTGAATAAATAAGTATATCAATATTGCAGTCCCCCAAATCAGGTAAAAATAATTATGGCAAAACCATGCCAACAAGCTTTGACCAAACACCACCTAGCTACTTGTGAAAAAGCTATATAAAATTTTTGTTTTGTTTTATTTAAGCTCCCCCACCAACCTGTATGACAGCTGAAACTGATTTTTCACCAGAACTGGCACTTCTCCATTTATGAGCTCCATCAGGTTTTAGCAGATTTAAAGCAGGATTGTTCTGAAATAAAATGTTTTCTATGAATTACCTTCTGAGAATTTCTATAAGTATTGGTACTAAAAGTCAAAATTTGCCAAAGTTGTTCAATGAAATCAAATATTATTTTGATACCATTTGACTTTTGTAAAGGACCAATTTGACCTCTTTGAGAATCAATTTTGACCTAATTTGAGGCCATTTTGATTAGATGACAAGCCTGCCAAGTTGACTATAAAAACCCTTGTAGATTATCAAGAACTAGAACTAGAAGATGGTCTTCAATCTTCAATAGAATCTTACTTTGTCCTCACTGCTACACGACACAATGTGTTGAAGCTTTATTTCAGGCATCTCTACGGGACATGTGTAATGATTAGAAATTCTGAATCGATTGAATTATCAATCGTTTTCGTAAGTTACTAAGAATATATCTATTCTTGTTTATTTTTCTGTTGAAAGTCGCGGAAAAACTTGTAAACAACTTAACTTCCGGTTGCGGTTCAATAAATTGCTATAATGCCAGATTATGCAAAGTGAAGTTTAAATGTTTTAAAATATTATTGGTTTATATTTGATTTTCAAAATATGAACAAAACAATGTTTAATATAATGAAAATTTATTTAGAATTATTTAAGACTCATTATTTTATTTTTTCAGTAACCAACTTCTTACCGAAATCTGGCAACAGAGTGAAGACTAAATTTGCCCTAATTTTGGAAGAGTTCCACTTCCGGTTGAACGTGTTGTAAATTAGAAATTGTTCTTTTTCTCGATATTGCCTTTTTTAAAAGTAAAAATGTTGCTAGAAAATGATTCGGTAAGTCCTAGACTTGCGTTTTCACCAATGCCTTATGTATAACTCAGAACAGAAGACAGTTTTTTTTCTCTAATCTGGCGTAGGCTCGAATGGATTTGCTTATCCATAAATAATAATGGCCATATGGCATAGTCAATTAGTGACTATAGTACTTGTTCTTAAGCCTGTTTAGCCATAGAATTAACCCAATATCAACTGCTTCTTATTTTAGTTTAGACATCATTGAACTACATAGCACAAAGCAGCACTGGAAATATAGAGGCATATTGTGTGTATTTTACAATGTTTATCAATTTTACAGTTTTTATCTGAGCTTACAAGAATGTTCCAGAGGACGAAGAACACAGGTTCAGTTAGCATAACCATGAAAAGATGTGAGTAAATCTGTACTTTAAAAGTGAGAAACCATAGTCTTGAAAGTTGATACTCTATGTAGTATGAAAACTGGCTTAACCAATACATGCCTGTAAACTATGCAAAATCTTTTCTGTACATCATTTCACTGTCCATCCTGTGTCCACAACATTAGCTTTGAGACACCATAGATATATGCACTTTCTCTAACTGGAAAATCTGTTTGGATTTCAAACTATGAAGGAAGTTCAAACTGTTAATTTTCTAGCTAAGTTTTCCACACTATACAGTTTTGGCCTCATTAGGGCCTACTGATTTTATTTAATATTAATTTATTTGTATCTTCTAGGGGATGGTCATAATAAACCTAAACCAAGGACAGGCAATGCTCCTGAACCAACAGAATATAAATGTTTATTTAGAGCATCTGCCAGAAATAAGAAAATTAGCACAGTGGTAATTAGTGCTTTCAGTTTCCAAAAAAATATCATAGAAAAATATTCACTTGTAAAATTCTAATGACAAATACATTTATGCCTGTCTGGAGTATTTACAACATAAGAGCATTCATTTGTGGTTTGAGGTAGAATAAATAATGGAAAGTATACAAGTCAGACCTATGTGTTTGTTTACGCTTAAATCAACCCAAAATATATTTGTGATCAAGTTGCAAATCAAAGATATAATTTTTATAGACCAAATATTCAACAATTATAATTTCTATTTTATTTTATATTTTTTTAGGTCAGTCAAAAAGATGTGACCAAATTTCAGATGGTAAGTATAACGATAGTCTTTTATGTTAAATCAAGGGTCTGTAAGGAAACTGTTGGCTTAGACTTGAAGTTATGACACAATGTTTCAGTTGTCAGGAGACATGAAAATAGCAATGCTTGGTAGAATAAGCAGAGATGAAAAATGAGAAGAACTGGATAGTTGCATAAGTTTAAGTTTTACATTCTTGCAAAGACAGTGTTATGATGAGAATGAACATATGAATAAGACTCCTTTCGTTTGTTTCAGGCCTATGCTACGTTATTAAAAGGAAATTTGATTGGTTTAAAGAGAGGAGAAAAGAAAGATGCGAAGGCAACAAAGAAAGCGAAAGCAACATAGTCAAACTTTTAAAATTTCATTTCATATTTCTTGATGTACATAATTAATATATTGATGTAAAAAACACTCTTTAGAATCTGTACCAGTTGGATTTAAGAGTATATCTCTGGTTTCACTCAAAATCATAAAGCCTGCTCTAATCTTTGTGTATATTTGTAAGGCTAATATTTTATGTTGAATAAGCTAAACAAGATAATCTAAACCAACCCATTACTCAACATCTCCCAAGAAACCACATGCTACATTTTTATTTAAGGGGGTGTTCAAACTATCTATTTGGAAAGTTTCCATTTAATGTACATCCTAAGGTTGGCAAGCACCATTAGGGTTAAAAAATGCGCACTATACACGCAAATATACGGCTAGCGAAGATTAACGTAAATAATGTATATTATGTTGTGAAATATGGAAAATGATCCATAATGAATGAATGTACTTGAATGAATAAAAAGTTAATTTTTTGATAACTTCCCAAAGTCGTCCCTTTGATCAAAATTAAAGATTAATAAAGGTTTCGCATTGGATCTTAACAAAAACCTATGCAAGGTTTTGTTAAACGTTTGTAAAAGTGTTCCTGCATATCAATTCAAGGCAATGTTCACAAAGCATGTGAAGGTCTAGACATAACTTTACTACCTTTGCTTTGGATATCGCCACTTCTGGACTTAATAAGGCCACTGCAAAGGTTCTTGTCGATGACGATCTGGCAGGATGAAGCCCCTTGCTTGTCGTCGACTTAAACAGATTGAAAGATTCAAGCCTGAGTATTAATCTACCGCGTTTAGCAAGGTCCCTGTGCTTTGTCTTACTCCGTCATATTTCACTTCAAGATTAAAATCCGACAACCTCATCTGAACTAGGAAAAATTAGTTTACAGGCCGAGTAGGAACAACAAAATTTTAGGGCCAGCCTCTGGAACTGAGGTATCAGTTGAAATAATTGTTTCCTTCGCCAACTGTCCGAACCATTCAATATAACGACGTTTCTTTGTGGTCCAATATATAGATATATAAAATACATGTATCATTTGCGTGGAACGTGGTGGCAAAATATGACGCTTCCTGGACACCCATCCCATCAGTTGTCTAATAGCTTGATTTATCGAACCGGATTTCCATTATAAGCAATAGAGGTAGTCGAAATTAAGTGTATGTCAAGAAGAACATATGCACTGTAATACATATATGCATAGGTGGATCGTTTGATATTTCAAGATTAAGAAGTTGTTTTTATGAACCGTTTGATGCAGATTTGTAGATTGTATAGATGCTTTATAATTTTTAAATTTGAATGTTGTAAATGTCCCTTATAGCCCTCTGCACGGAGTTGTCAGCCATAATTAACTAACCGAGAGCATAGCGAATCTATAAATCATTTGACGCAGAGGACTGGTGCGAGAAGGGCAACTGAATTTTAAATTGGGGCTCACAGCATCAGACCATGCCCCCCTCGAGGTAGTTCTACAAGACCCGTCGCGGATGGCCCATCGTCCGTTGCAGAAGGTCCGTCGCCCCTCCGTTGGAACGCCACTGGCCTGGAGCAGAGAAATAGGAGGTCAAACTCATTTTCTTTTCAAAGTAACATTTAATGAACACATCTCGAATATCCCTTTATGTCGCTATATTAATATCCCCGCCTGAGGCTTTTCCACTTCTCGTTTTACAAGTACATAAGTAGACCTATTATAGTTTTAAAATTTCATATTTGCTGACACTTTGCTTATAATTAATTGTAATTTGTAGCAAAAGTGCAACGGACACAACAGGATGGAAACTGGCGGCCAATCAAATGTATGGAAACGAATATGAGCTTGCTAGATCAAACAATGTAGAAGTCGCATGAACAGCCACATGGGCCTGCCCAGTAGCCTGACCTGATTGTTCGCACTGATTTCTAATTGCTAACGGAGTCATCTTTATCTGAAGACAAAGAAGATGCTGGTGACGTTACTGAGGATTTTTCAGGAGATCTAGTATGCTCCGTGGTGGTTGAGAATCCAATTGGTCTGTGTTCCACTGTTCCCAGTATCTGAAATATGGGACCGGTTGAGGCTTTAAAACCAACAAAACAAAGTAATGTATATACAATAAAACAAGTGGCTCAAGTAGATGAGTGAGGTCTTGTGGACTAAAGTTCGTTGGGGCCCTCACCCGAGATTTTTTCTTTAAACAAATGCGTTCCTGCTTTTTTTCTTTCTGAGGGTGGGGACTCCTTAGGGGTGGGGCCTTTGGGGCTCCTTTCCCGAAATTTTAAACAAATGCTCTTCAGTTGTTTTTTTTTCCTGTTCAACCAGTCCCTAGGTAGTTGAGCCACTAATTAAATCAATTTTCTGGATCACGATTCATGAAATCCGGTAATGACAATCTCTAAATACTTTCATAATTTGGTAGACCATCATTAGTCTATACTGATTAGGTAAAAAAGGGAAACAATAAAGCGATGATAAGAAAAAATCGATAAAAGTCAATCAAACTCGTGTAATGAATACTATCTTGAAGACACTGCCGAGTTTAATGATGCTACCTAACGATGATCATCGTATTTGTCTGTTAATATGTCGTTTTTATCGATATAGGCGGTGATTGTAGTGAAATTGTCAATTTGCTATCGTCAAAAGTGACTTGGACATTTATATATTTTCACTATTGGAAAAACAAAAGTGAGTTAATGATTTTGTAATTTTTTTTAAATCATTTAAAAAAATTAGTGTTTAGTTGTTCTTGTCTATTTATTTTGCGTTTTTTTAAATTTTTTATGTTTGATAATTAAATAGGACTAGAATCTGTAAATGTAAGCGGGTAATTTAGAATCGGTAAAAGTAAGCGGGTGAATTATAATCTGTAAAGGTAAGCGGGTGATTTAGAATCAGTAAAAGTAAGCGGGTGAATTATAATCTGTAAAGGTAAGCGGGTGATTTAGAATCAGTAAAAGTAAGCGGGTGAATTATAATCTGTAAAGGTAAGCAGGTGATTTAGAATCAGTAAAAGTAAGCGGGTAATTTAGAACCAATAAAAGTAAGCGGGTGATTTATAATCAGTAAAAGTAAGCGGGTGATTTAGAATCAGTAAAAGTAAGCGGGTTATTTATAATCTGTAAAGATAAGCGGGTAATTTAGAATCAGTAAAAGTAAGCGAGTGATTTAGAATCAGTAAAAGTAAGCGGGTTATTTATAATCTGTAAAGGTAAGCGGGTGATTTAGAATCAGTAAAAGTAAGCGGGTGAATTATAATCTGTAAAGGTAAGCAGGTGATTTAGAATCAGTAAAAGTAAGCGAGTAATTTAGAACCAATAAAAGTAAGCGGGTGATTTATAATCAGTAAAAGTAAGCGTTTGATTTGGAATTAGTAAAAATAAGCGGATGATTTAGAATCAGTAAAAGTAAGAGGGTGATTTAGAATCAGTAAAAGTAAGCGGGTGATTTGGTATCAGTAAACGTAAGCGGGTGATTTATTTAGTATGATTGTCTAAATCGGGAACGGGGCATGCTGAATTGCCACTATCTTTCAGAGAGTCCACATAGCTCCTTTTACCTTTGCACTTTTAGCTATTGCCCTTCACTGTTGTTTATCGTAAAATTGTCCATCAAAAAAGAATAGTTAATATTTCAATCAAAAATCAAATTAAAAATGATATAATATAAAAATCACAGATCAAAAAGGAAATAAAAAACAACAAAGACAATATCAATATGTCGAAGAAGCAAATCAACATACATCAAACGGAGCATGATTCAATTGTACGATTCAGTCGCTTTTGTGCAACGTGCATGTCTTGGTTGTTTATGTGTTTTTGTTAACGATTCATCGGTAATGTTTTATCTAACGATACGGTAGTCGTGAGGGACACAGACATGTTACATGGATCAGGTAATCCGGTCCAGGATTCCTGAAAAAATTTCTTAGATCTATCTTACAAAAGAAAAATGGGTACATTTTCCTTATCAACCCTGTACTTTATTTCATTTTAGGCACAGCATAATATTGAGAAACGTCACCGTTTACTTCCAGAGATGTGGAATTCCACAAATATCACCAACCATTTTGAACACATCAATAAAGATGCCAGTAATATACCAACCACCACTTACAAATCAAAGTCCGGCCTCTACCTTTCTGGTGATAACAGTTTGGAAAGTTTTACAGAATTCCAGGTGGCCTGGGGACTGGATACATACTACGCACCGATATGTTCAACATTAGGGATCATCGGCAACACCCTTTCTTTCTTGGTACTGATGTTATCAAAGACTACAACTACCTATCAATATATGGCCGCTATTTCCTGTACAGATACATTGGTCCTAATCCTCAACATTATGTTTTTGGTCCGCAAATTTCCTGGATACGAGATTTTCCATAAAGGTACTTGTGGTCTGGTATTTTTTCTATTCTACTTTGGTATCCATCTGAACGTATTGTTGATGGTAACGATGACGATAGAAAGATATCTTGCTATTCGGTTTCCACTAAAAGCACCAGGGTGGTTCACTATAAGAAAAGCAAGAGTAGCCATCCTTGTGGAAGTCCTAGTTGTGGTTAGTCTCGATTGCCATAATTTCTTTACACGGGCGATGATTGAAACAGATGATGGAAACAGTACGATCTGTTCTCCATCAGGAGAAACCAACGCGTACTTCCTGGGCAAGATCTGGCCTTGGATTGATTCAGTATGGTATTGTTATTTACCGTTGGCGTGTCTCTGTATACTCAACGTGTTTATCATCTCCAACATCAGAAAAGCTGGGAGATTTCAGAGACAGATGACCCAATCCAGTACAACGGGATCCGAGGGTAGAAATAAGGCTAAAAATAACAGCGGGAAGGAACGACAGATAACAGTCATGTTGCTGCTCGTCACCTTCTGTTTTCTGATCCTGGTTGGCCCGATGGCCATGATTATCATCATTGAGAAATATTATTGGGTTCGCGTCACACCTTACGAGCAAGCTGTATACCACCTGGTGCGAACTGTCCTGAACAATATGATGTATACCAACCACGCCCTGAATTTTATCCTGTATTACATCAGTGGACAACGATTCCGAGAACAGATGCAACAGATACTGTGTCCATGTCGACACACCTCTTCAGGAAACAGACAAGCAAGCTCCAGAATTACTAGTAAAGGATTATCAGATTCGAACATGAGCATTGCCACCGTTAGCACCGAACAGTCTAGGAGTACAGTTGACTCTACATTGAGCATTAACCAACTGGACTGAAAAGGAGTCCCAATGGATATGGTTAAAACACTATCTTTCTGATGGTGCTTGTGGAAAGTGAAGGGAATATTAACAATTCTTTATCTTACTACTGCTGTCCTTATGTACGTTGTGATCGATTACTGGGGTTTCGGCTGTAAAAAGATCACAATCTATCTGAATTGAAGGAGATTCGGAATCCTGGTTCTCTCTAGTTCTGTCTGAATTTCTGATGCTATCGTGATTTTGTATGCGGATATTTTGTGAATCATTTTGATTGAACGGGAATGGATGGTTGATTTTTTATCTTACTGTTTTTTTCTTTTCGTTCGTTGGGATCGTTTATGGATTGGGATTGTGGTTTAAGGACGATCAACAACTAACTTGAGTGAATAAAAACAAGACGCTTGATTTTGTTTAAAAACTCTGTCTGAGTTTATGATGTCATCCACATGTTTGCGGAGAGGAAATGGTTGATACTCTATCTTACTTATTGCTCACTTATCAAGTATATTTGAACTGCTTAACCCGAGTGAATTGAAAGAAATTTGATGTGTGGGTCACTTGGCTTATACTCTTGTTTTATGATGATAATTGTTATACGATTTTGCCTGAAGAGCAACCACAACCAACTTGACTGAAGGAGATGCTGAAACTGTGACCGATAATACTGTTCGCTAAATTCTGGTCCACATTTTTCTGATCTTTGTGTCATATTCTAGTGAAAGTGATGAAAGGGGTGGAGGGGGAGTAACTCTGGGTTAGTGTGAGGAAGGGAGAGTGGTAGGGATAGATTGTAGATAGTCAGACTGTCGACTCTTCTTACTCTTTACTGTTATCATTTGATTAAACTTTTTATTTAACATATTACAGTTGTTCGTCCATGTTTTCACCTGTCGTCTTATTAAAATAAACTGTCCAATAAAGACTAACTAGATTAACGTACTTAATCCATTAATCCACTTAATCTTTAGCCTCTTTCACTCAGCAGCAGGAGACAGACAAACGTCGTAGACAGGAAAGTCTGGGCGTCAGAGACTACCTAATCTTAATACGGTCTTTTCCAACTACCACTCACTACCGTAGCTAACCACATTATAACGCTTTAGTAACCAATCAGTACCGTAGCTAACGATATTAACCCTATAGTAACCAACAAGGGTATAAATTAAGAGTCCAGTCTCAACCAGAACATCAACATTTAGTTTCCACTGTTTCATTATAACAGTCTACAACCATTCCACTAGTTTTTATTTTCTTCTACATTGACAGAAATAATTCTACAAAATGGTAAGTTCTTGTTTCTTGTTTCTTGATGCAGCCTAGAACCAAGACCAATATTTAGCACAAATGTCCCAAGAAGAACCTTAAACAATGAGTTAGACTTTTCATCAGCAAAATCATGCGTTATTAAAGCGCGATTCAAATAATCCATACAAATTGTAAATATTCCACCGGTACAAGAGCAATAGTTTTATTCTATTCTTAATCTCCTTTCCTTTTTTTTTCAGCGTGAGTGTATCTCTATCCATGTTGGTCAAGCTGGTGTCCAGATGGGCAATGCCTGTTGGGAGTTGTACTGTTTAGAACATGGTATCCAACCTGATGGTCAGATGCCTTCTGATAAAACTATTGGAGGTGGAGATGATTCCTTCAACACTTTCTTCAGTGAGACTGGAGCTGGTAAACATGTTCCAAGAGCTGTATTTGTTGATCTGGAACCAACAGTTGTAGATGAAGTCCGAACTGGTACTTACCGTCAACTCTTCCATCCTGAACAACTCATCACTGGTAAAGAAGATGCCGCCAATAACTATGCCCGAGGTCACTACACTGTGGGTAAAGAACTCATTGATTTGGTTCTTGACAGAACCAGGAAGCTGGCTGATCAATGTACCGGTCTTCAAGGATTCCTCATCTTTCACAGCTTTGGTGGAGGAACCGGATCTGGTTTCTCTTCCCTGTTGATGGAACGATTGAGTGTCGATTACGGCAAGAAATCCAAGTTGGAGTTTGCTGTTTATCCTGCTCCACAAATATCAACAGCTGTGGTAGAACCTTACAACTCTATCCTTACAACCCATACCACATTGGAACATTCCGATTGTGCCTTCATGGTGGATAACGAGGCTATCTATGATATCTGCCGACGAAATCTTGACATTGAAAGACCAACCTACACCAACTTGAACCGATTGATCGGTCAAATCGTCAGCTCAATCACTGCTTCGCTCCGATTTGATGGTGCCCTCAACGTCGATCTTACTGAGTTCCAGACCAACTTGGTACCTTACCCACGTATCCATTTCCCATTGGCTACTTATGCCCCAGTCATCTCTGCTGAGAAAGCCTACCATGAACAACTTTCTGTAGCTGAAATCACTAACGCCTGTTTTGAACCAGCCAACCAGATGGTCAAATGTGATCCTCGTCATGGTAAATACATGGCTTGCTGTATGTTGTACCGAGGTGATGTTGTTCCCAAAGATGTCAATGCTGCTATTGCTACCATCAAAACCAAGAGAACCATCCAATTTGTTGACTGGTGTCCAACTGGTTTCAAAGTGGGTATCAACTACCAACCACCAACTGTTGTACCAGGAGGTGATTTAGCCAAGGTCCAGAGAGCGGTTTGTATGTTGAGTAACACGACTGCTATTGCTGAAGCTTGGGCTCGTCTTGATCATAAATTTGATCTGATGTATGCCAAGAGAGCTTTCGTCCACTGGTATGTTGGTGAAGGTATGGAAGAAGGTGAATTCTCTGAAGCTAGAGAAGATTTAGCTGCTCTAGAGAAAGATTATGAAGAAGTTGGAGTTGATTCTGTTGAAGGTGAAGGAGAAGAAGGAGAGGGAGAAGAATATTAAGATTTTGTAATTTATGATAATTTATAATAAAGTTATATATTGTATCTTTATTTGCAATTTCTGAAGATTTTCTTGTCGGGATATATACCCATCGTGTGATTTCAAAATCTGGAAGATTAGTCAACTAACATAAGCCAACCGTTGTGGGCGTCGAAATGTCTGATCAACTTTCTTTCGCAAACAAGTCTCGACTATGTCTAACAGGCGTTGAAGTTGATTGCGAGTCAAACTGAGAGGAACCGGTTTCAAGATTGTGGATATTCGTTGGTTTGTCTATTTATGTGATTGCCTTTCTCGTCATAGCGCTTACTATTTAATGGACTTCCGATCTAACATCATGTTTGTTACCATCATACAAAAGCAAACTTAGGCCCATGAAGCAAACCAAGACGCTCTGCTATAACGAAACACCAATTTGAATGAACAACGGTTGGAACTAAATCATTCTCAGTTGGTGATTATCGCTACTCGTCTAGTCGATTCAAACCTGGAAGGCCTTGATGCTATCACCTGTTTAGCTTCTTGTGTCCCATTATATTGGGTTTTGTATTTGATTAGATGGATTGGACTGGGTTGATATTCAACTGTTATCAACTGCATGTTATCATGATATTATCTAATCATCATTATTACGATCTACTCATACTTCAACATGGTACGTATTGTTTGAATATTATGTCGGCTTACTTCTAATATATTGCCCAAAGCTAATGATGTTATTTTGGCACATTACCCCAAACTATGTTTGTCTTCCGTATGTCAACTCATTTTATACATTATAAAGAGTCTATATAGCTAATGATGTATATTTGGCACCCATATAAGGCATTCTGTTGGTGCTCAACCTATGAGCCTATTCAAGCAATAATTGCCGAGGTTACCGTTTCATACGAAGCTGGTCATGCTTATCCTTCTTGTCCACTTGTCTGATTCCAGATTTTGTTTGGTGTTGTTATCGTAATTGTATCAGTAACCAACTGTTCTGGGCTGAACAATGGATTAGCTCTGACCCCACCGATGGGATGGTTGTCTTGGGAAAGATTCCGATGTAACGTGGATTGTGATAAAGATCCGGATAACTGTATCAGGTAACGGATCAATCTGTGGCTGAACTGCGGGGTCAGAACTCCCCCCCTTTCCCCTCACAGTTTATCCACCTCTCATATCCATCCGCCTCTTAAAACAAAATGAATATCCATGAATATGAGAATTTCGCCCTTTGCGCCCATCTTGTCTGTATATGATTGGGCTACAGAAGATGGACACCACCATGCTGTGTTAAAAAGGGATATTACAAGGGAATATTGTTACTATGGTATGTTGCAAAATATTTATCTATCATTTCCGAAAGTTATTCAAGATAACCCACATCGTACATAGGGATATTTCTTAGTGTTTACCACGACCACTGGGCAGTGAGCGCATAACACATGAACGTTATGTTGATTATTTCCGGATACAGTGAGAAGCTGATTAAGTCTATGGCCGACCTGATGGTATCGGAAGGATTTAAAGATGCAGGCTATGAGTACGTGTGTTCAGATGATTGCTGGCAGTCCATGACTAGAGGTCCTGACGGTCGACTTCAAGCTGACCCTAAACGATTTCCCAGTGGTATCAAAGCCTTGGCCGATTATGTGAGTATATTTGAAGGTTTTGGAGCTTTTTCATGTGTATCAGGGGCCACTTATTGAACAATTCCAATCATCGTACTGAAAAAAATGCTTACTATCGCGAAAGATTTTAATAAAATCTTAAGGTCTTTGCGATAATGACGTTAGTTTTAGTGGAATTGCAGAAATCACAGACGTAAGACTGAAAATTTGAATGGTGCAAATCGATGCTAGCAGTGTCCCCGATACATATACATCCCTATAAAGAAATGGTCCATATTCTGGATTCATTCTATGAAGAAAGAACTGCAAGAATGTACAGAATGATGCGTCAAAATTAATACACCAAATTCTTTTATGTCAACTATAATAGTTGGCAACCAAAGAATGATGCACTTATGCTCAACAGTAAAGTAAGCTATGAATCGACTTTCCCCTTCACAGCATCTGTAACATTCTTCAGAGCATTGCTGTAGAATTGTCGATTAAGAATGCATATCTCTTAAGTCTAGCCATTAACTATGTAGGACTCCACATGCCATCAGTCAACCGTGGTTTATATACCAGAGGAATGTTATTCCCTCGAGACTTGGCTTCACGTTGGTTTTTAAGGTGCCCTCACACCATAGCTATTACCAGTTGTATATATTTGTGAATAATAAAAGTGGTCATGAGTTCTGAAAGCAGCTCACAACTCAGTTAAATGAGAGTTCGAAATTAATAACTGGTATCCTTTATTTGCAACCATACGCAACTGTTGATCACTATGGCGTGAGGTTCCCTTTACATAACATCGCCTTACTCCGTATTGAATTCCAGAAGGTGATCCACTACCACTACTACATTAAATTTGTGTGGTATTGATAGACATATTATGTGGTATTGATATCACTAACTCTTGATTTATTCCATATACTAATAATATACCACTGGCTACCAGAGGGTGATCCACTGTTGTGCCATTACCAATGCTACGTATATCCCTGATGAAGGTAAAGGAACATTTCCGGGCCTTGGGACCAACGGATTTCCACCTTACCCCAAATGAGATAGCCACAAATCGCTTTCCGTCACCCTAACTACTCTCAATTTTCTCCTCACAGGAATATGACAATTTAATGAGTTCAAAGAGTGTCGTAGAGCCCATCACCCATCTGAGCCTTTTGACCATGTCAGGGTGGTCCGGCACCTATTTCACCTGTCTGTCTTGGTTCTAGGCTGTCTTGGTTCTAGACTGTCTTGGTTCAGGTTTTCTCGTTGTTATTATTAGGTACACGGCAAGGGATTGAAACTGGGTATTTATGAAGATTTTGGTTATCTAACTTGTGAAGGTTTTCCTGGTTCTGAATTTTATCTACAACTCGATGCCCAAACGTTCGCTGATTGGGAAGTAGACTTGGTAAAATTTGATGGATGTCATTCTCAACTGACAGATTTCGATTACGGTAGATTCCTTTAACCGGTTAATTTTCATGGTCGTGGCCGTGGTCGTGGTCGTGGCGTTTCTACTGAGGGTCAAGAGTGGGGGCCTAAAAGTTAGCCTGACCCGGCTTTGATCCCCCACTTCAAATCTCTTATCGTATTACAAAGGGAAAGACTTGCCTGGTGCTCCCCCCTTCCCCCTCAATTCATGTACAAAGACTTTAGTCCATCTCATGCTGGTGGCACGTGTTTCAGATGCAACATCTTCCGGACCTCTACATCTGGAAATGGAGATTAAGCTTTCTATTATGAATATATTGGATTCTAAAGGTATAATGTAGTGTATAGGCCTATTTATATTATTAGATATCCTATCCTTTCAGAGGGTCCACATAGTTAAATAATATTTTGATTATTTGTATTACCAGGGTATCCCGCGATGAGTTTTTACCTCAATAAGACTGGTAGACCAATGGTGTATATGTGTGAATGGCCGGATTATCTTAATATGAACGGAATAATGGTAAATATTACTTAAGATTAAGTGGCGTATTTAGGGGGAGTGTCATAAAAATAAAACGTTCAATCCCAAATTTGCAATAGATGTTTTCTCCGACCTCCTAGATTCGAAAATTTTCCAGGGAAAAAAAATGCAAGATACGAATCGGAAATACATTAATTGCTAATGACTTTTGCATATGAGGAAGTATATCAATCATAAATAAGTAAGTATTTCATAATGAACAGTGGTAGCAGCTAATGAACTATTCATATGTGCAAGAATATCAATCATAAATAAGTAAGTATTTCATAATGATAAGTGGTATCAGGTGTCTAGAAGAGTAATCATACCCTGTCTAGCGATCCAATATCCAGCGAAATTTGTATCTATTTCAGCCCAACTATACAGCTATCAGAAAGTCGTGTAACTATTGGAGGAATTACGACGATGTTCAAGATTCTTGGGATAGTGTTCTCGATATCATCAACCATTTCGGAAATAACTCCGGCAACTTCAGTAGTTTTGCTGGACCCGGTGGCTGGAATGACCCGGATCAGGTACGATATTGGCCATTTGACATCAGTAACGACTACAAATGGATGATACTTTCATATCAAATCCTGAGGCTTGACATCATTAGGCTCTTCTCTAATACCTTGACTGCAATTGCCACCTTTCTTGTATCACGGAAGTTTGTAAATATAGTGATTTTCTTTGATTGGACGCTAGTGAATACAGCCAATCAGAGCCAAAGACAAGAGGCATGTTAAACATTATGGATTATGGTTGCAGTCTTTCTGCCGAGGGCTCTAATTGTATTCAATAGTACCATCCAATCAAATCACACTATTTACTAACTTATACGAGGTATAAGACACAGTTCGGTATAGCTTGACATTGTGAAGATGCAAGAAAGGTGGCTATTGCAGTCAAGGTATAAGACATAGTTCGTAATAGCTTGACATTATGAAGATGATAAAGGTGGCTATGTGAGTCAAAGTATAAGACACAGATCGTAATAGCTTGACATTGTAAAGAAGCCTATAGTTACCTCCCTTGCTTCTTCTACTAGTTAGTTGTTGGTGATTTTGGATTGAGTCCAGATCAAGAGAGAGTTCAGATGGCGATGTGGGCAATGATGGCATCCCCACTGTTAATGTCTGTCGACCTGAGAAACATTCGTCAAGAGTCTAAAGGGCTACTCCAAAATAAATACCTGATAGAAATAAACCAGGATCCACGTGGCATCATGGGAACCAGGAGATATACTAAGGTATGTATAAGAGGTCTATCAGAACGCCACCGCATATGACCCAAATCGCCAGCGTATATTCAACTTCGCATCCGCAATTGACCCGATTCGGTCCCCGCAATCGTTCAACTTCGCTTCCGCATTAATTACATCCGCATTTGTTGAACTACCCCTCGACATTTGACCCGATTCGTCTCCCTATTAGGCCAACTTCACTTTATCATTATGTCAACTTTACTTCCGTACTAGGTCAACTTGACTTCCGCATGTGGTTAACTTGACTTCCGCATGTGGTTAACTTGACTTCTGTCTCCGGGAGTGGACTCGTATGATTTACCTTAACGAAATGTTTGTTTTATATTTTCCAGGGCAGCATAGAGATCTGGACACGGCCTTTGACCCCGCCTGGACAAATGGCTACAGCGTTTTTAAACACAGGCTACCATGGTGTTCCAAGAAAACTGACGGTCACAGGGGTAGAATTGGGGCTTCAAAACTACGTGAAATATAATATATATGATGCTTTTAACAGAAATAAAATCTACGATAGTGTTATAGTCTCAGATAATTTTACTGTTATAATAAATCCTACTGGTATCGTTATGTTTAGAATTGAAAATGTCTAATAAAGTATTAGTTTTGGGTAAATTTGTACTTTTTAATGCTGCTGTCAAATCAGTTCTTGGAAATTTTTAACAGATAATTTACACCTATTAGGGAACAGCTCCCCCCCCCCCCTCCTTCAGTTTTTTGTAATGTTACAAGCGCCTGAGAGTTTAAAATTCACGTTTTAAAACTTGTTAGAATTGAAGATGGCATTTATTTGGGATACCCCCAACACCCCCTCCCTTCTGTACCTCCACTAACGCCGTAACTCTACAACATTTTTTATCATTGACACGCATTGGAGCTCGATGAATATTGTAATGCATGAATGAATGTGGATGTTTAGTAATATTGTTTCATACTAAAAAGGTCTTGGTGACCTAGGCAGAGAGGAGGAGTTGCTATATAGGGCTTCATCTTCAGTTTGGGCAGGCCATCTAAGACTTGAAGTTATTGAAGTTATTATCAAACTATTGTCAACACCTGTAATATTGCCTGAGTATTGGTTGTTACGTCATGGGGATACCGGAGAATATATTTTACGCGATTTTTCATGAGAAAGTGTAAGAAAAAAAAATTGTGGCCCGAGGGAGGAGGGGGGTGGGGCAAAATTACCTTACATAAGTACGATATTTCATTTTGCAGAGCCGAGACGAGTTTAATAGGGCCAACAATTTGTGAAGGGAGGCTCACTGCACCATACAGTTGAGAAATTGAGGAGGGGAAGGGCAAGGACATGTCAGCCTAACTTCTGGGGTGTACTATTTATAAGGTCTATTGAACCGACAGACACACCTGATTCTGATACATATCTATATAGTCATATGTAACTGAGTACGAATATACCCCCGTTCCGACTGTTGCTCGTTATAATAACTATGTACTATCTGAACATGTATAATGAAATATGTACATTTCTACTATCACCATCTAGGTACTGTTACGAAACCATCAAGGTACCTGTTACGAGAACTGGCGCTTTTTTCTCCATAAACTGTAGTTTGTGACCTGACAGTGACACTACCGCGTGTTCAAAGCAAAACAATAACGCAATCTAAGATTTTTAGTAAATTACCGATCATATGTGAAAATTGTATCTGAATTTAAAGGAACATGTTGACCATTCTATTTGACCAATCATACTTAAGTCTCAAAAACTGGATTTTTTTTTTAGCTAAGCCAGTCAGTAGTAGTGTCACAGTTCACTGTCGAAATTCAAATCCACTTATGTCCAGAATTATCCGCTTTTGAATATTAAAATGACGACTCGTCAATTTAAGATACTCTGTGATATATAGAAACTAGTGAGTAAAATTCCTAGTTCGAGATATATTTTATGCGATTTTCGTACAATTCTAGTACTTCTGGAAGCTATTTACATATTTTCAAGACTCAAATCAACCCCCCAAAACGGAGCATCTGTCCCTTTAAATATGAGAATTAAACGTTGTTCTCACTAGCATTATTGGTGTGTAAACGCAATCGATCACGCCACAAACATACACACACTTCGTCATTTATTCAGTGTGTGAACACCTGATAGTACTTCTCTTTGCAGGTGTCCATTACTATTCAACTTTTACTCTCGATTCTGCCCTTCCTTGGACGAGATTTTTGATTGACGGAAATTGGTTGCCTGTACAGATTTTTATTAATCTAGGTTGAGCAGACTATCTTCTAATACGGTGTTCTCTATACCATTCCGGAAATGAATGACTTCCTCTTACGGATGTCGGAAAGACGTCTAGAACTTAAATTCCTGTACTTATACAGATGATGGACTACGGCGGCACCCCAAATCACGTGATTGTCCTCCCGCTCATTCACAAATTTTCATATTTCTGTCCAACCATGATCGACTTGTCAATCATGCAGGTCAATCTAAACTGCCCCCTCCCCCTCATTTTTGAAGCCATAAAAAATTATAAATTTATTCTACTTTCACTTCCAATATCGCATAAGATATATTCTCCGGCTTCCAACATAAATGACTCCCATGACATTCAAACCAAGCCTTCATTAAAATCCTCGCAGAGAAGTTAAACGATATATCGCAAAAGATTCACAAGAGCACTGCTTTACGGAAATTGCCGAGGATTGCCGAAGTTAGCTATTGTCATGCAAAGAAAAAATGCGTTTACTCGAAAAATTTAAGAGGGTCAAAAATTCAAGGATAAACTACTTGTGAATAAACTTTTGACACAATCGACATACAAACTTATATAATACACTGGTATATACTAATTTAACGGAGATTATGTTCACGCGCCCTATCAGCTTATACTAATGAGAACATCATGGGGTTAGTCAGGTCGACATCTTTAGTTTTCTTCAAATTTTTTTTCCTCACCAAAGAAGATCAGAAACAAAAGATAGAGGGATTTAGGTTTCTGTGTCACTTTTCAAATCAAAGACCCGACGCCCTGTTTTTCTACAATTCAAAAGCGTAAGTTGAAATCTTTAACCAGTTATAAACGTCCATGTATGTACAGTCTGGATAAACAAAAGAAGACTTTTTGACCTTTCTTTATCAGTGGAATTCTAATGGTAATTCTCCTCTAATTTAGCTAATTATGAATTAATTATGGACATGTGAGACAAACTGGTATTTTACCACGTCATTAGAACACCTCTACTTTCTATTCATATAAGTATTAGCAATTTCATTTTCAAAAATGAAAATAAGGGAACCCATCTTTAATGAAAATGATCTTTTTTTACCTCAACTTAAGTCTCAGTAAACATCATTAGTATAATCCTTTGATAAAAACAGCTTTACTAGAAAAAAAATCGCGAGACCTACATAAATGACAAACATGAATGGCATCTATAAGTAGACCAACAGATCGTCCGATAAGATAGCTGCTATCTTGAAAAGATGAATAAAGGGTTTCCGATAATAACTGTTCCGCTCTACCCGTCATGATGAAGCGATTAGATCGAGTCATTCAATTGAACGGTTTGTTTCATTTGTAGGTTTCAATTGTATTTATTGACACAATGGATTAAAATTGAAATTGTTTAGTAGGCTAAACACGTGTGTCATTCACATTTACCAATTATGATAAGTCAATACAAAGAGCTCTCTGGCAAACATAACGACTGTTAAAAACCACTGTTTTCGCCTGCGAAATCATTTATTGAAAGCTGAAACTATCCCGGGAAACAAGTGTTCGTCTGCGAAGTCATTTATTGGAAGCTGAAACAAGCCCGGGAAACAAGTGTTCGTCTGCTGCGAAACCAGTTATTGGATGCTGAAACCAGCCCGGGAAACAGGTGCTCGTCTGCGAAATCATTCATTGGAAGCTGACACTAGCCCGGGAAACAAGTGCTCGTCTGCGAAATCATTTATCGGGTGCTGAAACATCAATTAACGCGCGTCGTCCTTTAAGGAAGTTCGTTTGAAACTGTGAAGACACTAGCAAAAATTGTGTCACATCAGAAGGTCACATCAGAAGGCGAAATAAGAAGAGGAGTGACCAAGTAAGAACAGAGCATTTGTGCTTGTGTTGTAGAAATTAAGAGTTGGTGCACCTACAAGGACCAAATGTCGTCAAGGCATGGGAACTAGGTGACTAAGCAAGAATATTGTTGTATTTCTTTAAGTGGACACACCGAAGATGGCCAACAGTGATGATAAAGACGGTGGTTGGGCCTGGATTATTTTAATTGTTGCCAGCTTGTCTGTGGCAGCTAGTTGTGGACTAGGAATAGTCGGTGGAATATTCCAGGTGTTTTTTCTAGAACAGTTCAGAGAAAGCATCTCCTATACAGCTTGGGTGACTGCCTTATTCTCCTCTTTGCTGCAACTAGCAGGTATGTTCTTCAATTAATGGATTTGTAAAGGGTGTTCTGACTTTTCTATGTGTATAGTAATATAAAACGCCCAGAATTAGTGGAATTGCAAAAACCGCAGACGTCTGGTGGTGGAAAACTAGAATGGTGCAAATCGATACCACAGTGTCTGCGATACACATACAATGTTTTGAAACCTTTTTACCATGATCAAGGTTAACGATGAAAATTTACAATCTCTTTCTGAGAAAACCACTCACCTAATAATGATTTTTTTGTATAATTTGCTGATATTGCAGGTCCGGTAGCCAGTTTGATAGTCAACTATTTTAGCTGTCGAACCTCAGTAATGTTAGGAAGTATGTTAATGTCTCTTGGACTGGTTCTCAGTAGTTTTGGGAACAGTATTGAGTATTTGATGATAACATTCGGCATTATATCAGGTAAGAAGTCAGAATGGTACAACTTCAGGATTAAACAAAGCTGTCCCCTCTGCCCCCCCCCCCCCCCTTTTTGGCTACACCACTGAAGTGGCGTTTCTACGGGGGATTGGGGCCGGCCCGGCTCTTTCACCACCCCCACCCCTTCCTACTTTCAAAATTTTTAACAATTTACATCATGAAAGAATAGTCCGTGGCCCACTGGAAATTTTGTTGGCCCCTGCTCGCCACTGAAGTAGGGCCCATGGAATAGTCAAAAGGGTAGGAGGGGGTGGGGGTGTCGTATGAGGTCTATCACAACTAGAAAAGTTGAGTGTGATAACTCTTTTCAATTCATTTTACTGTCTATGCTATTTTTTCAGGTCTAGGTTTAGGTTTAATCTATACCCCATCAATTATTATTACTAACTACTATTTCCATTCTAAACGGAATATAATGACGGGCGTGGTCATGTCGGCGGCGGGTGTTGGAATCTTTGCTGCTCCTTTATTATCACGGCAAGTATTTTTTTCATATTCGGCTAATCTCGGTCACGGATTGAAATGCACGTGCTGGGCCAATTTAATATGGTTGTTAATGTAAAAGCAATCAAATTTCTTCTGTGGTAGAAATGAAATGTACTTTGACGTCATACCATTCGGATTTATGACGATGCAGTGTACAATGAGGAAATTTCGCCAGATAAGTGACAGAACCCTTCTTTTTTCTTTTAAGTTACGACTGTCCACGATCTTAGAAATGCACAACCTACAGCACAACGGGTCTCGGTTTATCATAGTACAAGTGACCCTATAGTTTTATTTCTATAAAAGTTCTATGTTGGCCAATCCATAATATTGCTACTAACGGACTACGCAAAAATCTTGAAAACGTTGACCTTTAATTTCAGATATCTTCTGGACAATTTCAATTGGCGGGAAACAATGATTATTCTCGCAGGAACCTCGGCACAGTTCTGTGTTTTTGGTGCAGTAATGTTCCCCATTCATGAACCATCAACTATTTCGTGTACAGATAAACTCTTGCCATTGGTGAAGTGTAAAAAGGGGAAACAACCCATAAACAATGCGCACGAACATTTGAAATTAAAACACCAGGGGGGGCTTGGTGATGACGTAATAGCTGGTAACGTCGCAGTAAAGGAATACTGCCAAATAGTTGAAAAGGAACCATTTTTAAAGAATCCAACCAAAATCAACGAAAATGAGGTCCAATCAAAACAGTTTCTGGATGTGAAAGATTCTAATATTTTAAAATCTTTAGAATCTGTGTCTCTGAATAGTCAACTGTTTTTATCAAGGACGTCGGGGCTGAACGTGGACGTTTCGACCCCAAAACCCTATTTCTTACGGCACAAACAATTTATAGTGTTTTGTATAAGTTTGATATTAGTGAATGCCGGATTTGGAGGGGTGTTGATACACTACCCTCATTTGTGTGAGTCAAAAGGTGCTTCAAAAAATGACGTGGCGTTAGCAATATCTGCCAACGGACCAGCGTTAGTGGTTTCACGTGTTTTAGTAGGGGCTTTAGGTAATGCCGATAACGTGGATTTTTTCGCAGTGTATATCTCCCTTAAAGCGCTGGCTGGAATTTTTGTGTGTTTAGTGCCCATATTTAACTATAGTATTGGATACAGTGTTAGTACAATGATTATACTAGCTTTAACTAATGGCGGCTCTGATTCCCTCGCGGTTGGTTTAACTCTAGATTGTGTTGGGTTCGACCAGTTTGCAGTGGCTGTAGGTGTTCAGATGGTTTGCGCTGGTATTGGGTATCTGATAGCTCCACCTATTATAGGTGAGTGTCTCCTGTCTACAAAGGAACTGACTTTTTAGCTGAAATTTATTTTAAGAAATGTAATTTTAACTCGTGTTGCCTCTTATGGCTAGATGTGTATTTTAAATATTCCATCAATGGTCATTCGTAATTTTGTGTTTCTTGGACGTCGGGTCAATGAAAGGTATAAATCTGTAAGATTTGAAAAACTGTTTATAATATCAATGATAATTTGTATGGCTGTATTTTGCAGGCTGGGTGGTTGATGTAACGGGTTCTAATAACACTGCCATGTTTATAGCAGGTACGATCTTTAATATTCTCGGTTGAGGAAGTCACGGTGACTCATTGACCGAAACATCTGTCTCTATTCTACCCTCTGATAGCTATTATTTTGACAGATGTCCTGTTAAATGTAGACATTCCGCATCTCCGCAGGTGCTGGGGTTTTAAACTTATTTAGATACCTTGGATCTACAAACCCAGGTATATTTGGAAAGATGAATATTTTTGTAGTTCAATCATATCATCACTTTCTCCTTACATTATTTATGTCACGTGATACTAACAAAACGAAAGGTAATTCAATATTATGTTAGAGAAAACGCATCTTTGGAGGTGTGGAAAATCCACATTTAACAGGGTTTTTTTCTTCTGACTCTACTCCAGATGACAATTGTCAAAATATCCATCAGAGGATGGAATAGAGGCAGATGTTTCGGACTAGGTGACTCAGTGAGTTAATGCTTGCTCGCTAACAGTCTAGGTCAAGGGCTCAATCCCGACATAAGTCGAGATAATACCTTCGAACTTTTCAATCCTTGTTAGTGATGCAAGTCGATAGTGCTGACATGGAAAAGTTGTTCGGATGGGACAATAAACCTCGGCCCTGTGTGCACGTTAAAGATCCCAGTTGAAAAATAAAAAGGCATAAATAATTTAAAAGATTTTGCTAAAGCCGTTTTCCTGTTTACACTGTGAAGTCAATTTTTCTTATCTATTGACATCAGTAGTGGGAGTTGTTTAAGATAAAGATTGTCAATGTTTTACTTTCAGGAGGTTTATTAATGCTGTCAGCGTTCGTTTGTCTCTTGATTCCATTGCTAAAAGAGAAAGATGCACCTTCAATCGGGTACCATCCTCAGAAATGCCAGGAAACGGTCGAAATAGACGAACCAACCAAGTCGTAACAATATCTGAACTAATCAACCTGATGGCCTGTTTGACAAAAACTTAAATTCCGATCATTTTCCTGCTCCTTTCACCTGATTGGTCAATCTCTAAACAAATCCATTTTTACTAGCCAATCAGGAGTCTTATTCTGGAAAACTTAAATAAGATAAAAATCCAAATTTGGGGAAATACAGTAATCTGATTAGATAATAAAACAAATTTTAAAATAAATTTTAGTGATTGACCAGATGTGGTTAGCGTCCATAAAAAGTTTTTAACAAAAATCGTTTTATCCTAATTCAACTTTTTTATGGAATGACAGGTATCGCCAAGTATCGATACAGCTGTTACTCCACTTACAAACGTCAAAATACCTATCAGAGACTGGAATAGAGGCAGGTGTCAATTTAAAAACAAGCGAATTTGAATAACTTTAATTAATCTGCCAAAGCGGTTTAAGAATTGAACAAGCTGTGTGCTTTCTCTGGCTTTCACTTTACGGTAAGCACCGCTTTTAAAATATTTATATTATCCCAGCTGATGCACTGAGCACTATTTTAACAGCTGTATTTCTATATCGCTCTACAATTGATGTATTGAGCACTATTTTAACAGTGGTATTTCTATATCGCTCTACAATTGATATATTGAGTACTATTTTAACAGTGGTATTTCTATGTCGCTCTACAATTGATGTATTGAGCACTATTTTAATAGTGGTATTTCTATATAGCTCTACAATTGATGTATTGAGCACTATTTTAACACTGGTATTTCTATATCGCTCTACAATTGATGTATTGAGCACTATCTTAACACTGGTATTCTATATCGCTCTACAATTGATGCACTGAGCACTATTTTAACAGCGGTATTTCTATATCGCTCTACAATTGATGTATTGAGCACTATTTTAACAGTGGTATTTCTATATCGCTCTACAATTGATATATTGAGTACTATTTTAACAGTGGTATTTCTATGTCGCTCTACAATTGATGTATTGAGCACTATTTTAATAGTGGTATTTCTATATCGCTCTACAATTGATGTATTGAGCACTATTTTAACAGTGGTATTTCTATATCGCTCTACAATTGATGTATTGAGCACTATTTTAACAGTGGTATTTCTATATCGCTCTACAATTGATATATTGAGTACTATTTTAACAGTGGTATTTCTATGTCGCTCTACAATTGATGTATTGAGCACTATTTTAATAGTGGTATTTCTATATCGCTCTACAATTGATGTATTGAGCACCTTTTTTTAAGGAGATGATTTGGACCTTGAAGATATATAAATAGTCTTCAGAACTACTAAAACTATACGAAAATAGTTCCTTCAAATAGACCTTGGTCAAGAAATTTAACTTTTTGTTCATTTCGTTCACAAGTTTATTATTATCTTTTAAAAAATTGGGGTATCCGAAAGTTGAATGTCTTGTTGATATAGTCCCTGACACCAAGACATCTTCCGTTACATCTGTGCTTAGACGAAGAGCGACAGGATGATTGAGTCTACTGGACACCAGAGATGTTCCAAAAAAAAATCTCTTAAAATTACTTGTTAAAATAACTTTCAAACATCGAAAAATAGGGATACATTTGGATATCGATACTTTAGCGGAATAATTCACGTTCCGAGAGAGACCAAGGTAGGCTATGATTTACTCCCGGTAATGCTACCACTGTCCCTTTAAAAGAGAAACTATTTATTGTATCATTTCTGAATCCATTGTTTGCGCAGAATCGTATGGTGGGAAAGTTTTAAAAACCGGGATGTTCCGTAAAAGTTTTAAGAAATGATGCTCATAAAACAAAGAATACAAGCGAAAACCCAAAACTATTTCACAATATTAACAAAAATTGATAAAATACAAATAAAACTAATTTTAGCACCTACATCAGACAAAAAAAAAATCAAATCAATATGACGACATTTGGTCCTATAAAATATTGAAAAAATAGAGCTACATCGATATAAGCAAGGCTTTCATATAACTTGCTGCAGCTAAGGAAGCATAGCACTGCCATTCCTTGTTGTGTCCGTCTTGATAATCGCTCATACCTCGAACAACCAGTACACTGTTGACGTTGTTTTGCTCCAGACTATCAAAAATGGTCGAATATCCGGAATCATAACACTTAATGTTGAATTGCTTGGCGAAATCCAATCGCAGATCGTTTGCTTTAGAGACAAGTTTACTTCCGGCCACTAACCCATACAAAACGCGCGTATTTCCATCTGTGTAGTGCACGTCTTCTGGGCGAGGATGGTCGCATTCGATAATAGTTCCGTCTGGTTTAGTATAATATAACCGATCCGTTCGAATCGACGGTCTGTGAAAATTTGATTCTTGTCCTTTTAAAGTGTCCAGCGATTCTTCCATTATAGATATCCATAATGGAGAACGACTTTTGAAAGTTTCTGTTTCCTGGCGTAAGGATTTGACCGCGCTGCTTAAAGTTTGGTCAGTGAAGCTGAAAGTTTTAGTTGTGTATTTATATCCTAGTCCCGGTTGGTGTTCGACTTTTGAACAGTTTATATACACTTTACTACTATTATTGACAAGCGAGACTACGACATCACCCAGGCGTACATGCTGCTGGTAGTCACTATATGAAGGAACTGCCCCGCCCACTCCAACCATTAATACATGTTGTATGCCTCCGAAGTTCTCTAAAAAGAAGCATATACAATTTATCGGACGAACTCATGAAATAGCAAACAGTGTGTTACAAGGCATGAGGCAAGCACAACAAGGAAACTGAATTTTAAGAGCATTTGCAGAAGCACAACGTGGCAGGTATCTTATACCGAACCCCGAAGCATACGGTATTATCTCAACCTATGCCTGGATTGAACCCTGGACCGTCAGGTTAGTGAGTAAGCATCTTACTCTCTGAATCACCACGGTTCCCATCAATTTCCAAAAGCCCGGTGGCCCAACTACCATAAGGACTGGTTCAGACAAGTCCCCTAAGGGGCCCTTCAAAAAAAATGCCCCCCCCCCCCCCCCCCCCCCCCCCTCCATTCATCTGGTTGAGTCACTGCAAAAGCCAAAAGCAACTTACTATGTAATTTATTGATGGTATCTTCAGCTAATGTTTGATCATCTTGTGATTCGCTATGTAGAGATAGTTTACACGATACAACACGTTGTTTACCAATTTTACCTATAGTATACACCTCACTATCGCCTGCAAATATACATCGAGTCCCTGTGGTATACCACATCTTAAATTGGATTGTCTCCCTTCGTCTTCACAATGTCAGGCTATTACAAACTTATTCTTATACCTTGACCGCAAAATCCACTATTCTTGTATCACGGAAGTTTGTTTTGATTGGATTGAACACCAGAGAATACAGCCAATCACAGGTTTCGATAGAAGGGCAATAAGTCATAAAGTTTTTCTATCGAGGGTTTTGATTGGCTGTATTCGCTGGCGTAGGCCTACAGTCCATTCAAAAAGCTGCATTCCGATAAAAAAAAAATGGCTATTGCATTCAACGTATAAGAGTTCGTAAGAGCTTGATATTGTCAAGATGAAAAAACCGAAAAATGTTCGCATCCATAAAATGAAATGTTATAATTATTTTACGTACCTTCTTTAGAATGAATTAAATAAGTAATTTTGTTATCTATCATGGCGTCCACGGCCAGTTTTTCACAATATAATGATGTTATTATTACGATGTTTATTTTCTCTCGTCCAGAAAACTTCGGTACTTCGTCCAGAATATTCACATCTGGAAAAAAGACTAAAGTTTGGAATCTCAGCGAAGATTTAATGATATGATTCTCAGAGTATGGAATATCAATGCGTCGAATATTATGTTAGATTGGTAAGTGTAGGGAACCCAATATGCAACAAAATGGTGCGACGATAACTTAGAAATGACAAGAAGTTTACTTCAAACCAATTCATCGGATAATCGGATATTCATTGCTGCAGGGTGGAGGTGGAGGGTTGGGGGTTTGTTTGGGGGTGGGGGTAGGCTTTGGTCGAGTAGATTCCTTACCGTGTTTGACAGTTTCTTCATCCGTCGGAATTCTCACCCACGACCCCTCGCCCAATTCCCGGATTAATCCCCGTTTCTGTAAATCTTTTAATCCGACCATAGCTGGTATCATGTTACTCTTCTCTATTTTGCATAATCTACAATCATTAAATAAATAGGGCAACGACTTTTCTTGATTTAAAGAGACAGATTCTCCATCCGTTTGAACAATCGTACCTTAGTCTACCTTAGCTAAGATGTCCTAGAATCAATGTAAGAAGATAAGTACCTAGGACATCCTAGCGCTAAGATCATTTCGAGAATACGTGGCCAGAATGTATTTTTTACTAATGATCCGAACCGCAAAAACTAAACCCGAAATCCAAAGCAACATATTGGCGAAACACAGCATCTAATAAACTTTTCACTTGAGAAAGTATATCAATTATAAATGAGTATTTCATAACGAAAAGTGATATCAGGTGTGTAGAAGAGTAAGTATTATGTTACCTGAACAGTGTATCGGCTGTAAGACTATTAGGATAAGCATCTTCAAGTTTTAACAGCATTCTCTCCTTTTTAGCTATCCATAATATTTTGGAGATAACTTTGGCCTTTTTCGCTTCCTTTATTGGATCTTTCTTTTTAGCTAAAAAGACAAAATAAATGCATCACGTTTCATTGGTAAGAACCCCCTCCCCTCCCCCTCGATTTACTCCGGAATAGAACATTCAACGCTGAACTCTGCCTTTTATAGCTGAGACGAGTTGGATAGTAGTTTGCAAGGCTGTATAGCCAGTATAAGTTGAATAAGTTCTATCAACCAACACCCACCCCACTCTCTAAATCCCACATACCCAAAGTAACATTTTATCTGCAAAGTTTAGAATTATCTCGAAGGTGTATGCCCAAAGTCCACCCAGAAGAAACACCTGATATCAATCTATACTTACGTATACTTTCATCGGGAAATTCATCTAAAAAAAAAGCAGAATTGATTAAAAGTTGGATTAAAATCATACAAGAAAGATGGAGAGTTTAATTTACTGATGCCAACTTCAAAACAAAAATTAAAAGTCGCAACCAGTACTCGATAATCAACTGCATCGTCCACAAAATGCATATTACATCCGCTTCTTTGTGATTCTATAGTCATAAGGGCATAATGTGATAAGATTTCGAGATTAGTGATGTCATCTTAGTTTTAGTGGAATTGCAGGAACCTCAGATGTAAATTCAGAAGGTGCAAATTGATGCTATCAGTGTTCCCAATACATAAACAAAAATTTTCTAAGAAAATAGCTTACCTATAATTTCAGTAAATTCCCACACGCCTTTTGATTTTCTACTGGTTGATACAGAAATACAGTTGAAATTAAACCGTCTGTTGGGTGGAATCGCCCAGTTCAGGAATCTTCCAAATCCAATCTGATCGCCTTTACCGACTTCCAGGCGATGATCTTTCCAGCTGATCCAGAACTGTTTAAGTTCATCATCACTTAGGAGGTATGGAGTTTTGATTTGTGCTTTAGCATTTCCCAAAGAACCATCTCTTATATAGGATACCATGTTCCCATCACAACCAAGAGCAATTTCAAAAGTTTTGCGGTCGACATCACCATAAATTGCACTCAATGCTACATGTGCATCTTCAGACGCTTTGACAGCAAAACAAACGGATGTTTTGTTCGAAATCGTCACTTCCGGTACGAATTGGTAGGTGTAAGAGTTGGGAGTAAAAACACTAATAAAACTCTCTGAAAAAGAAGGTGATAATTGAGTTTACCATCACGATAATACAAAAACTGCAATTTCAAAATTTAATCCAACTGAGTCATTCAAGCTGAAAAAATGACAAAACAAGGTGTTCGCAATAATAAGAAGAACAGAGTTTCTGCCACAAACATATGATGCTTAAAACTGTGTCCGGGTTAAAGGATTAATAATCGAACAAAATTATTAAGCGCAGCGGTTGGAAAAAGAATTTGATGAGCGAACCACTGTCCACGATTTCTCGAAACGATCTTAGCGCTAGGACATCCTGGAAACAGTATTAGATGTTAAACCATAGGATATCTTAGAAACAGTATTAGAAGTTAAGACCCTAGGATATCTTAGAAACAGTGTTAGAAACTAAGATCGTTTCGAGAATACGCGTCCTGGATTTCTGGTCTCTTTTAAAGGAATACTACGCCTTAAAATGAACATAAACTTGGCCAAAAAACTGTTGTAACTTTATGACACCAGGTAAGTTCACTGATGAATATATACTCATATTGGCCATTAGTGAGAACTTAAATTCCATGTTCACTCTAAGACGTAGTATCATTTTAATATGAACGATATAGTCATTACTAAGAAACTTACTGATTGGTCCAAAAGATTCATCACCATCTTCATTTGATTCCACAACCTCCAGTTCAACTCGTTCTATTTCTTTATATTCTCTCAGTACTATTAAAGCTTTCTTTACAAAACCAATGTAATCTGAAAGTATTACACGAAATACAATATGCAGTCTCTTTATTACATATTTCTATCTTATTTCACTTTAGCGAGTAAACCTTGTAATAGGTTATCATGTAAGTTTTCATTCGGAAATCCTCGGCAGTTTCCGTCAAAGTATTCTATCGATAAAAGCGTAATCTTGGCCAGTGCTTCTGCTTAAGAGTGTCCACAACAACAACACGAGTCCAGAGTCCTGTTGGTTGATCTAGAATCAAAGTTCATTGTAACTGAGAATATTATGAAAACAGACAATTTTAAGAACCTACTTTTTGGTTTGGGGTTGATGACATCCCGGAAATATTCCGACATGACGTTGTTTTTATTGACTGGACCATTTCGTGACACGAACCAGAATCGAATGGTCCACGAATCCTGCGTTGAGTCGCCATCTTGTGTCTGTTGCTTCTGGTGGATGACAGCCATAAACTCCAGCCTTCCGTCTGACTGTCGAACATCATCCATTGCTGAAGAAAACAGTGACAAAATTTATCCAAGTCCATCCAGCTATAAATGGGAACAGATAATCCGAGAAAGATCAATGCCAAGACAAGAACCAGCTAGTAAAAATGATCTTCGTGAACCTAATGTGTTACCCTTGTAAAAAATGTAAGTTTATTTCTTTTAACGAGAATTATTTAGCTATATAAGCTAATCAGTAATAGTGTTCACAGCCTTCAAATTGTGCACTGAGTTATCCATGTTTGAAAGTTAAAATGACGACTCGTCTATTCTCGGGCTGTCGCCGTATGTAGAAAAGATAAAGAAAAAAAATGAAATTTCTAGTTCGAAGTATTTTTGAAGGGTTATGCGATTTTAGTTCAGTTCTAGTACTTCAGAGGGCTATTTACATACAGGGTCCAAATCAACCCCCGAAAATGGCGAACCATGGCCCTTCAACATTACCATTATTACTTACAAGTCCTGGTTTTATTGACGAGGATGCCTTTATAAGGTCCACCAGCTATGTGATGTACTTGACCAAAATCAATATCTTTCTTAGGCTTTCTTTCCAGTCTCATAATAGAGTTATTGTATAACTTGGCGGCTGTCATCACGATTTCTGTAAATAGATCAGATAAATATATTGAAACAGAACTTGAGATCCACATGTCATCTTCAGATAACTTGGTTAGCTCAGTCTGTTTTCTAACGGACGTTTGAAAAGCAGTGATCTTGTTCAGATAACTGGACTATTTCAGTCTGTATCCCTACAGAATATTTGACAAACAGGAAGGAATTACATGTATGTGATTTTTGTACATTTCTAGTACTTCTCTATTCGTATCTAAAACGATACGATGATTATCCATACCATGTAATGTTGGTTAAGGAACAAAGAAGACTATTTACATATATTCAAGACTCAAATCAACCACAAAAAATGGTGGTCCCTTTAAAACAGGAAAACGGTTCATAAATTTTGATAAATAGTTTATAAATTGATGATAAAGTTTAATCTCTTTATTATTAAAATGTTGACCAGTACTAAACAATTACCATATTTCTGACATTTACATTTCAATATCTCAAAACTTCCAAACAATGTGACCTTTCAGTTATCTCTTCAATGTTGGTGGTGGGGTAGCAGTGGCTTAGACTTGATTATAGGGTAGGGTAGGGTAGGGTAGGTTGGATTAGGTTAGGTTAAGGTTAGGTTTAGGTTTAGGTTTAGGGTTTAGGTTAGGTTAGGTTACGATTGTGCTACAGGCTGTGCATGTTACAGATCGACCGCACTTGGATCTAAAAAGAGTAGGCTAATGTCGCTGTCCAAGCAACGTTACATGATAATGATCAGTTAAAGGTGAAAAATCGTAGGAACTCTCATTGCACACTGCATGGCGTTACTGTCTTCATTAGCCCAATCAGGTGCAGAAAAGTAAGACTAATGCCGCTGTCCTAGCAAACTTTCTCTCATTGCATACTGCATGGCGTTACTGTCTTCATAAGCCCAATCAGGTGCAGAAAAGCGGGGCAGACAAACCCGTGGGAGTAGGGGTGGCAGTGACCCCGTTGACAACACTTACAGATAACAAGATCCAATATTTACTTATTGTATAAGATGATTTTACTTTTATCTCAAAGTCAACAAAACTCTAGCCCTTCAATAAAACAAAACCTTGCTCCACCCTAAAATAATAGATTTGTAGTGCTTTTATGATATCTTTCACCCACACGCCAGTCTCTGTCACCCACACAATATATCCTGTCCCTTACTTCCAGTCAGGCGCCAAAATTTGAAATGCATTAATACATCTGCAACGTTTCTGTCAGATCATACTAGTTTTAAATTCGATAATCTGTCTAAATTGTTATGCTTCTTCTGTACTAGGTCTTTAAATTTCAACCAATCAAACGCATTGTTCAATAAATTATTTCCTTACTATGTGCAAGGAAGTTTTGAATAGTAATTGTTAAACACTGACTTGTATTTTCTGCCCAATTTTAATTGTGTTTTTGTTTGTTTAGTGCATATCACGACAACTTAGATGCTATTGGGTAAAAACTCCTCTGAACACGATTTAAAGAAGAACATCATAAGATTATAGATGGCAAGCGTACTTGCCTAAAAAAACATGAAACGAAACAGCCAGTTATGGATATTGTAATCAAATTTGTAGATTTGATGAGGAAAGAGACTTAATAAAAACCCCAAGTTCTAACGATCCAAAACGCAAAACGAAACCAAAAATCCAAAACAACATATTGGCAATACATTGGTTAGCAACTAATGAACTTTTCATATGAGGAAGTATATCAATCATAAATGGGTTTATATTTATTATGAAAAGTGGTTTAAGGTGTCTAGAAGAGTAAACATACCCTGTCTGATGCCACACCAAATTAAAGGGTTATATGATCGCAGATAGTTCTCATATATGTCCTAGCAATAAATACCTGACCCAGAATGACCTTTGATAATTTGAATAAACAAAACTAAGACATGTCCTAAGGGCCGTCATTAATCGATCTAAAATATGTACTATCGAATATTTTATAGATTTCAGTCATACTTGAGTTGTTTTTGGTCTTAGTTATTATATAGAGAATATTATACTATCTTTTTTTCACCAACAAATCTACATGATGCTTTTAGAGATATCTTGGTATAGATTGGGCGGGGGTCGGGCAAAGAACCTGCAACTGGCGGCGACTGACTGAATTTAGTCGATATGGTAGCAACACAGATATCGTGGCAGGGTTCGTATATGAAAGAGGGCGGGGAGGGGGGGGGGGGGGGGGGTGGAAAGATCGACCTTCCAACGACTGTGGGCAATTAATGCCACCTGGTTTTCGGTTTATTGTCCTCTCCGAACGACAACGGCATATGCCTACTATTTCGGAATTTCCAACTGTCTTGGGATATCTAAGTGCATAGGCATCTGTCAGCCCTTCTGACAGCGGCATTTGCTTACTCCTTTTATAATTCTAACTTTTGTGCACAGTCTGTGGCACATAGGGGCCTAGTTTATTCTTCCGTCCGAACGACTGGACGCCTTTTCCATGTCATTCCCTCTGACAGCAGCTTTACTATTTTTCATTTTCAAACTGTCAATGCACCCTTGACGTGCACAGCCTGCGACACATAGGGCTGTTCAAACTTGAAACAAAATCGATTAAATTTCTTATACTTTCTACAGACGTTGTCATCAATATGTTAATATGTCATTGCGCGAACAATTATCGACATATTTTTGCTATGGAAACTCCAGTCGTCAGCCACCATGAGTTTCGAATAAACAGAGTGATTTACCTTCAGTTGATGTATCCATTTTTGACTGATTCCAAATTCAATCGGATAATCCGCAACAGTACGAATGATTTGATAACGCTTCTATCACTACGATAGCGATACACTTTCCAACCAAACCCCCAGATGACGGCAGTGTCTATTTCTACGGCTCATTAGATTCCTCCCTGTTGTTTTACTGCTGGTTGGTGTATCCGTTGAAGCAAGTCCAATCAATAAATATAAATTTATAATATTAATTCCGTAGACTTTCTTCTGTCGAGAAATTTTAAACATAAAAGAAATAAAAAAAAAACAACGGTATTCGATATGAAGTAGATAGATAAAGATAAGAGCGTGGGTATTTTACGTGAATAATCATCAATCATAACTTTCAATTTAAACAATCGAAACTTAGGGTCAGTTTTACATTCAATATCTACTCCATGTGGGTTCGGTCGACCTTTCAGGAGCCGCGGTGGCTGAGTGAGTTCAACACTTGCTAGCTAAACTGACAGTTCAGGGTTCAATCCCGGCATAGGTCGAGAGAATACCTTCAGATTTTTCAACCCGGTTTTTCCATGTCAGTGATGCCGTCTGACATAATGATGACATGACACGATAGGACAATAAACCGAAGTTGTTTTGTCGATTTGGAAAATTCAAAGCTCACAACATTTTCCAGGGAGGACACAGTTAATTTTTTCACTATGAAAAGGTTAAGAAAAGAAAAGAAAATGAGGGAGGTGGGGCTGGCCAGGCTCTCTTTTCTTTTTATGACCGATATGGACCATTAAAGTTTTATTGCCCTTGCTAATCTGTCATTTTTAAAGTTCTTAGCTGAGCAGGTTATAGGTGTTATAGAAGATGCTCTCCTATAGAAGCAATGGTCTAGGTCACAAGTAGAGACTATGGATAAATCAAGTGTTCAACTCTTTTAGTTGGCTATAATAGCCGTATACAAAATACAAAATCATAAGTTTAAAATCCTACAGTTAGAAATCGAAAAAGAGCAGGCTAATGCCGCTGTCCTGGCAAAATTTCTCTCATTGCACCCTGCATGGCGTTGTCTGTCTTCATAAGTCGAAAAAAAGTAGGACGTAAAACTCCATTCATTTCATTTCAATATTGCAAGTCCCTGTGATTTTGACCATTTTGTAGACCGTTTCTTCCAGACATTTTAGTAAAGGAAAAAAAGACCTGATAATCAGAATTATGACTAAAATAAAAATAGGTCCGAATTCAAGACGAAGATATAGTTAATTCAAACTGAATAAATTCTTTAAAATTTGATTTTGATATAAACTAAATTTCCGGCTCTTATGTCCTCGAAATCAACAAAGAATCGTAGAACTAACAATTTAAAATTTCGTTTACTTGTCATAATGCCAGTCGGACTTTGTACAGGGAATTAAAGGTCGATGACCCCGAGGTTTATTGATAATGAGAAGAAACGAGTTTTAGAAGAATGTGATGAATGTTGTGCAATTGAAATGAAAAATTGCTTTCATTTGTAAGTAGTCTGTAAGTTGAGATCTTTTTCATTTGTATTACAATTTTCGAATTACATTGTGTAGGCTTATAAACGTGTTGATTCCATTGCGGCTTTAATTTAAAGGGATACTACGTCTTAGTAGAGTAAACATAAAATTTAAAATAAGCATAATATTCATCAGTAGATATACCTGGTGTCATAAATAACATAATTAGGATCCTTATATTATCCGATAAATCCCAAAAAATTAATAAAAATGCAATTAACTATTGAAAACGCTTAATATTATGATGAAGCGTTTTTCAATAATTACGGTACCGGTACTTAGTTTTAAGAATTTTCTAGATTTTACAGGGATTCTGTTGTAACTTTATGACACCAGGTAAGTTCACTAATGAATATATACTCATATTGACCATTTCGAGAACTTAAATTTTATATTAATCCTAAGACAAAGTATCACTTTAAAAACCTCTGGATTCGGCTGACTGAAGATTGTGTATGGTAGTTGTAGATTAATTAGTACACTATTATAATATACTACATTTTAACGAGCTAACTCTAGACGGTACTCCTCTGGTGTAGAGCGATATAAGTCTAGTGGAATACAGCACATTTGTGGGTAAATGGAACTTAATGAATATATATTTTGTGTATTATAAATCAGAACTATAAGTGAACAAGCGCAACAGGCTAATTCCCTTCTTCTGCTTCTGAATAAACAACATCGATTTAACATGACAGAAGGATAAATATAAAGGATTAACTACATTTACAGTTAGGGCTATATCAGTTTACAGGGCTTATATGAATAATGTAAATATAGTAATGATTGTAAGAGATCTTGCTTCATAGACTGCCATGTAAAATCAATGTTTATCCTGAGGAGGAATATAGGAAAATAAGTGTGTTGGGCCTGCTCACATATAGTTCCGAAATGGCTTATGTTGCCATGTGAAAGTTATTACATATTATGTCATTTTGAAAATGTGATAACAGACTTAAAACTTGAAGCAGTCGTCACTTCTGATTATTACCTCTCTAGTACTTCTGAAGATTATTTACATATATTTAATCCCCAAATCCTTAAAGAGTTTTTAAATGGGACTATAATTGTATCTCTCCATTGTAGGAATTGGACTGGTAGTCTCAATGCGGATGAAATTCAAAAACAGGAATGTGTTGTTGATAACGCTGGTTGTTATAACAACACCGTTACTATGGCTATCACTGTTTGGAAGCACTGGTAAGTATAGAATTGTTCTGTTTTTGCTTTGCCGTGTAAGAGTTACTTAGATTTATTTCGTCAATCCCCTGTGTCGGTTTGTTCAATCACCTTCACACCTATAAAAAAAAGAGTAGGCTAATACTGTCCTGGCACAATTTCCCTCATTGTACACTGCATGGCATTGTCTGTCTTCAGTAGCCCAATTAGGTGCAGAAAAGTAGGATGTAAAACTCCATTCATTTGGCACCTAGCATGTTCAGTTTAAACAGTGTTCTATCAACAAATTTTGAATGCAAGTTAAAGGGGATGGTAAATAGTTTTTCTAAATTTTTTGTAACACCGGTATAGGGGACAGTGATAGCATCAATTTACTTCAATTTACTCCAATCTATTTTTCAATCAGAAAAATTAGTTCCTGGAATTCCACTGAAAGTAACTGTTTTATGATGTCATTGGCGCAAAATATGCTCTATCTCTAAGACCCTTCGTGATTAGTGACATCATCAAACACTTATTTTTAGTTATTTTAGTCAAAGAAGTATAAAAATGGAATATTTGATTGGTTTATTCGGCTAGTAGGTTGACTATTTATACGTTAAATGAATAAATGCACCGTAAAAATCAGAAAAACAATTTTGTATTCAAGTACGTTTTTTGCTAAGAATCTTAATAGCCCGTACAATATAACTGTAATTTAATGTATGTAGTATCAAGTTGCATTCAAGATATACTTCCTCTTAGAAAGAACAAAAATTTAATTTTTCAAACTTGGCCAATAAAAATGTTATATTACATATTCTTTAGTGTCAGAAATATACAACAATATACCTGTATCTTATAAATCTAAATAATTCTCCATAAGATTACAAGTTATTATTGAAAGTACATATTTAAGAGTTGGTTTCATGAAATTATTGAGAGATTCTGTGGTTAAAGTTATGACACTAAGTAAGTCAATTGATGAATATTTATACTTTTATTTATTGGCCAAGTTTTAGACATTAAATTTTATGTCCTTTCTAAGAGGTAGTATATCTTAAAGGGATTGTAAAGAGATTTTTTAAACTTTTTATGTAAATCAGGGACACTGATAGCATCAATTTACACCATTCCAATTTTCAATCAGACATCTATAGTTCCTGCAATTCCACTAAAACTTGGTTTTTGGTTAAGTCACTAATCGTGATAAAGCATATTATGCCATTAGTTTTAGTGGATTTGCAGGAACCACAGACATCTGATTAGAAATTGGAATGGCGCAAATGAAAGCTATCAGTGTCCCTGATATACAGACATTATTTAGAAAACCTATTTACAATCCCTTTAAAAGAAGAATTGGATTACATTTAATTGATATCCTGTAACCACTGTGCATTACATTTTTTCTTCTCTATTGAATATAGGGCTGAAAGAAGCCTACTGAACCTATCTGAGTTCATCTATTGAGCAAAGTTAAGATTGAGATTTTAACTGAATTAAATACAGTGTCACAGGCCACAGGAGCTTCATTAAAATGTTATTTGACAACTGGTTTAGATATAAGCCTAAATTTTTTTACGAAGCTTTGTTTAGAATATCATTTGTCTCCCTATGAGCTGAATTAAGCCTGCTGAGCTAAAATAATCTATTGAGCTTAATTAAGATTTAGATTAAAAGTCGTGTTAAAGACTGGTCATGAAGATACCTACCTACAGACTAAATTACCTAGTATCACTGGTTAAGCTACTTTTACAGCAGATATTTCAAAGAGTGATTATCTTCTGAGCTAGATTGAGCTACAATAAGCCTAGTAATTAAGCTCATTCTTTGTTATTATTGTATTTTGTAGGCTCAAATTTATTTGAAGAAATTTTGGAGAAGAGATTTGCAGATCTACGAGATCGGCTTCAGTTTGCCGAGGCTTTGAACAGACAGAGAGAAAATGACTTATTTATTCTACGTAAACAGTTCAATTACTTATTGACTCAAGTAAACAACGGTACTTCTGTTAACAGGTAAAGTATTACAGAGATTGTAAAGTTTTCTAACCTTTTTATGTATATCAGGGACACGATAGCATCAATATGTACATTCCAATTTTCAATCAGACGTCTGTGGTTCTTGTTAAAGAGATTGTAAAGAGGTTTTCTAAACTTATTATGTGTATCATGTACACTGATAGCATCAATTTACTCCATTTGAATTTGTGGACATCAGACATCTGTGGTTCCTGCAGTTCCACTAAGACTAAGTGTTTTATGACGTCACTAATCTCGAAGAACCTTATGTGATAAAGCATATTTTGGGATTAGTGATGTCATTAAACACTTGACTAGGGTGTGTGGATAAACCTATATTCTTACACTATAGTTATAATACTTCATGCAAATAAACTTAATGCTATACTAGATAGCTACTTGAAACTTGAATATCAGTTTTGGTATAACTTACCATACAGATACAATATTACATAATAGAAATATTAAAACAGAACCTAAAAAAACATGTTGTTATTACTCAGAGTTTCATGATATGATTCTCCTAAATACAAAGGATAAAGTGTATAGATATGCTCACTAAAGATTAGTGTTGAAACGGTTAATCAATAAAATTCACTAATTGTTCAACACTACTAAAGATAGGGTTGGACTGGGCTGGGATGGACTGGGCTTTTATTGAGTATAGTTGTGAGTTTTATACTTAAAGGGATAGGAGCGCCATTTTTTTTTAACCAATCATACCTAAGTCTCAGAAATGGGAATATTTTAGCTAAGCCAATCAGTAATAGTGTTTGCAGCTCACTGTCGAAATTTGAGCCTTCAAATCCATGTGTGTCCAGAATTATCCACGTTTGAATGTTAAAATGCCGACTTGTCAATTTAAGATACTCTGTGATATAGAAAGACATGTATCGAAATAATGAGTAAAATTCTTAGTTTGAAGTATTTTTAAAGGAATTATGCGATTTTCATATATTTCTAGTACTTCTGAAGACTTCTTTCATATATTCAAGACTAAAATCAACACTCCAAAATATCGCACCCAACCCTTTAATAAGCCCAAACTGTAATATTAACCCTTGTGTTAGTTAACCCTTTACCAGTAACTCAACCAGCTATGTAATTAAATGATTTATACTGAAATATTTATTTACATGATTTTAGCTTCATACTTGTTAAAGGTGCCTATGCTCATTTTTCTTGGTTAAATCATGCTTTCTAATTGATTAATCAGTGTTTCTAATGAATTATACAAATATTCATATGTTAAAATACCATATGTGGATGTAGAAAGACTTGGGGAAGTCATTTACTCAAATCTGCTTTGAGAAGCTAAATTTAGACTCGTAGGTTTGTTCACGTATTTTTCCCATTCATTAGAATACCTCTACTTTCGATTGATACAAGTATCGGCCGTCCAATAATCAATAATCGAATATATATACGTAAATGAAAATAAGGGAAACCATCTTTAAAACATATAATACTTATTACGGGTATAGTTATTACCAACTGTGTCTAAGTGCTCATGTTGTTTATTGCATATCTTGTCATGTTGTTTATTGCATATCTTGTCAGGTTCTCTTTTCATAAAATTCGCAACAGTTGTGTTGTGTAATTAAATGTAGTCATGCATGTCTTTTTGAATATGCAGGAAATAATTCAAATCATTAGTCAGCCAATATCCTTTCTGCTTCGATTCATAAGCTTTGATTATATCTATATATATCTGATTAAAATCAAAATCTCGTCCAACTATGATATATAATATTATGCATGATAATACGCATGGATGATGGGGAGATAATACGCATGAAGGATGATGGGGAGATAATACTCATTGTGATTGATCATGAATCCTTTGAGCATATTTGTATCACATAACTAAGCTTTTATAATAACAAATAAAACAGGAACACGCCATTAACTTTCAAATATATTTTTAAAATCACGAGAAATCGTGGTTACACATTTAAAGGTACAAGAATAGACTAGGTGCGGTGAAAATAAAAGAATCAAACCGTGTCTGCACCAATCAAACTTTGTCTATTTGTTTCATTTTCTTTTCAGTTCATCATCTGATTTGGCTCCTCATATTCAGAATTACCTGAGAAATTTCAGCGGTTTATCCAGTCAAGATGGGATATTTTTACCTGGTATTTTGGCCTATTTACCTCAATTAAATGGTCACCCTGAATTTACTAAACCACGATATAGATTATCAGCCAATAGACAGGAAGGTATTTATTCAGGCTTACAGCAGACTTGATTGTTTTGAAGGGGCAAGTAATATATAGAGAGGGGCAAGTAATATATTGAGAGGGGCAAGTAATATATCCGAAGGGACAAGTAATATATCGGAAGGGACAAGTAATATATCTGGATGGGCAAGTAATATATCCAGAGGGGCAAGTAATATATCCAGAGGGGCAAGTAATATATCCGGATGGGCAAGTAATACATCTGGAGGGGCAAGTAATATATCCGGATGGGCAAGTAATATATCCGGATGGGCAATATATCTGGAGGAGCAAGTAATATTTCTGGAGGGGCAAGTAATATATCCAGAGAGGCAAGTAATGTATCTGGAAGGGGCAAGTAATATATCCGGAAGGGTCAAGTAATAAATCTGGAAGGGTCAAGTAATATATCCGAAAGGGTCAAGTAATATATCTGGAAGGGTCAAGTAATAAATCTGGAAGGGTCAAGTAATATATCCGGAAGGGTCAAGTAATATATCTGGAAGGGTCAAGTAATAAATCTGGAAGGGTCAAGTAATATATCTGGAAGGGTCAAGTAATAAATCTGGAAGGGTCAAGTTATAAATCCGGAAGGGTCAAGTAATAAATCTGGAAGGGTCAAGTAATATATCTGGAAGGGTCAAGTAATATATCTTGAAGGGTCAAGTAATAAATCTGGAAGGGTCAAGTAATAAATCTGGAAGGGGCAAGTAATAAATCTGGAAGGGGCAAGTAATATATCCGGAAGAGTCAAGTAATATATCCAGGGATGCAGTAATATATTTGGGGGGGCATTGCAAAATAATCAAAAAAAAATAATGCACTAATGTTCATTGCACACTGCATGGATGAAATATTTAGAATTAAAAACTGGTTTAAGATCCTCAGACTCTATTTTATTTGATGTTTTTGTTACAGTATCTGTGGTGTTTGGTATACCAACTATAAAACGATCTAATATTAGTTATTTGGATCAGACGTTACAATCATTGATAGAGGGTCTGGATTCCACGGAGAAAGAAGATTGTTTAATTATAGTATTTATAGCTGAGGTAAGGCCTAATGCTGTATTCGATACCCTTGAGAAAATAGTATTTATAGCTGAGGTAAGGCCTAATGCTGTATTCGATACCTCTGGGAAAAAAGTATTTATAGCTGAGGTTAGGCCTAATGCTGTATTCGATACCTCTGGGAAAAAAGTATTTATAGCTGAGGTAAGGCCTAAAGCTGTATTCGATACCTCTGGGAAAATAGTATTTATAGCTGAGGTAAGGCCTAATGCTGTATTCGATACCCTTGAGAAAATAGTATTTATAGCGGAGGTAAGGCCTAATGCTGTATTCGATACCCTTGAGAAAATAGTATTTATAATAGAGGAGGTAAGGCCTAATGCTGTATTCGATACCTCTGGGAAAAAAGTATTTATAGCTGAGGTAATGCCTAATGCTATATTCGATACCTCTGGGAAAAAAGTATTTATAGCTGAGGTAAGGCCTAATGCTGTATTCGATACCTCTGGGAAAATAGTATTTATAGCTGAGGTAAGGCCTAATGCTGTATTCGATACCCCTGAGAAATAGTATTTATAGCTGAGGGAAGGCCTAATGCTGTATTCGATACCTCTGGGAAGTGGGAAATTTCCTACTAGGAAGTTGTAATTACCACTTGATTCTATTCGGGACATATTTGAAATATTAGTACAGACGCAGGCTGTCTAGAGAGAAATATACTTTATTTGCATAATAATTCATATCACATGAGTCCATTATATAATTCTGATTGGTTGCCTAACACTAATATGTCATATGACATAAAGAGTTGAGGACAAATAACCATTCTTTACAACAACTTAGGTTCACATGAATTCTGTCTGAAACGATTCAGGAATTCAAAAAGATATATATAATATACAATTTGAGTTGGCGTCAGGGGACATATTTGTGAATATAGTACAATGTTTGTCATGTATTACCAAAAGTGAAGGAAGTTAATGTTAATCAGGTCTGGTATGTCATGTTTCATTTAATAGGAAATAAGTTAAAGGGATTGTGATGGGGTTTTTTAAATAAATTTATATGTATCAGGGACACTGATATCATCGATTTACACCATTCCAATTTTCAACCAGACGTCTGTGGTTCCTGCAATTCCATTAAAACTATAGGTTTTATTATGTCACTATGGCAAGGTCCTTATATATCAATAGCAGGAACCACAAATCGGAATGGTGCAAATTGATGATATCAGTGTCCCGATACACATAACAAATCTAGAAAACCTTTTTAAAAATCCCTTTAATATTTGGATTATCATTTCTATTTATAATAACTGAACGTTTTTTTTTCTGTAGCCGAATGATACTGCGTATGTTGAGAAAGAAGGCCAGAGAATTAAAGAGAGGTGAGCAGTTTTATTTAACAGAGCTTTTTGTCTCCACCATGGTCACTTTAATCGATTATGAAATTTGATAAGCAATAATCAAAAATATAAATTTGAAGCTACGATAATCAAATTGTTCGATTATTTTACCAAGCATAAGTATCTTATCGATTTTATCTAGGTGGAATGGAATGTTCTGAGATTCTGTTCCAATTCTGCCTCCAATCGAACCGTATGAAAGTGGAAAGGTTGCATTCAAAATTTTTCCTTATCTGCCATTTTGAAGTCTGTCTGCATCTACTATTTTTTCGGCACAAGTGGAACACGTTCTCAACTCTGTTCCAACTTGTTTTATTGAACGTTTTGTTGATTCCAAAAGTCCCGAAAACGTGCAGAACTCTCCAATCTTACGGTCCCCGATCCTTAGTTGTGAATTTTGATACTTGTATTGAAATATCCTCACTTAATTATTGACATTGTTTATCTCTAGATTGAACTGTGAAATAAATTATCATTCAATTTCAGATTTCCAGCAGAAGTGAAATCTGGTTTAATCGAGGTCATAGCGCCACCTGCTGGTTTTTATCCTAATTTAGATAATGTACAGGAAACCTTTGGTGATTCCAAACAACGAGTTAAGTAAGTGAAAATTTTGTATATTTAAAAATTAAAACGAGGACAAAAGAGAACCAGTCTCATTGAAATAAGAACAAACTGTATTTTAATTAGCTTTTATTTTATGCAACCACTCCAGTTAGGGTCTAACAACTCCTCTATATAACTTTCACACCATCGCCATACACTTTAATACCAAGAAATCAAATTCCCCGCCCCCTCTGGAGATAGATTCACAGCCTGGTGTTGCTAAGCAAATTTGTTTTATATTTCAGATGGAGGACAAAGCAAAATCTGGACTTTTCATTTTTAATGTTGTACGCTAAAAATAGAGGGATTTATTATGTTCAGGTGAGTTCAAATATTTACACTGGCTAGTGTAGCAGAGTTAATTGTACATCATATGTTTTAAACTAAAAGTTCAGATTGTATCATATATGTATACTTGAATAAAACACAACACTTATCTCCTCTTAGTTAAATTTACCATCAGATGTCTGTGGTTCCTGCAATTATAGAAATACTTTACGTAAAGTTTCAATTGTGAGCACTGCATATATTATCTAAGGGTATTTGCATTAGTGGCATCATAAAAGCATTGTTTTAGTGGAATTACTAGACCCACACACATCTGACTTAAAATGGTCCTAATTGTAAATGTTGTTTTAAGCTTGTTGTGTGTATATTTAATGTTTATGTTAATTGCCATTTATTTAAATCCTTTGTTTATTTTTTTATGTTTATGTTTAATGTTTAATGTTTATGTTTGTTCTTTTTTGTCTTTTTTTTATGTTAATTATGTACTTTTTATGTTCATTATTTATATGTTATGTTTATTGTTCATGTTATGTTTATTGTTTTTATGTTATGTTTATTGTATATTACAGCTGGAAGATGATGTTAATTGTTTATATGTTATGTTTATGTTATATATTTTTGATTATATGTTATGTTTATATTTTATGTTTATTGTATATTACAGCTGGAAGATGATGTTAATTGTTTATATTTTATGTTTATTGTATATTACAGCTGGAAGATGATGTTAATTGTTTATATGTTATGTTTATGTTATATATTTTTGATTATATGTTATGTTTATATTTTATGTTTATTGTATATTACAGCTGGAAGATGATGTTAATTGTTTATATTTTATGTTTATTGTATATTACAGCTGGAAGATGATGTTATCAGTAAACCAGGTTATTTATCAGTCATAAAATCATTTACATATCAACAAAAAGACGCCAACTGGTTACTGTTAGAGTTCTCTTCTCTTGGTTTTATTGGTGAGTGAGTGAATAACTTCTTTCAGATATCTGACCAATGAAATTCCATCTCACATAGATAATGATCATATTCTCAATATCAAGCTACTATAAACTTTGTACTTTTACCTTTTTTGTAAAATGTAAATTTGATTGAATTATAGCCCTTGACAGAAATTCTGTAAACAATAAGTCATAATATCAGGCTTTCTGTCGAGGGCTCTGATTGGCATATTCACTGTTGTAGAATCTAATCAAATTGATGCATTACGTGATACAAGAAAGGTGGCTATTGTAGTCAAGGTATAAGTCTGAAGAGATGACTTCAGTGATCTGTTGAGTCGCTATAGTTGAGCACCCCTTAAAAAATTGTGGCCCCCCTGAGACCCTAGCTACGGGTCTGAGGATGAAGTTCGTAATATTTCTATATACGTTGTAGGTAAATTATTCCGTTCAGCTGATTTACCGATGGTTGTTGAGTTTTTTTTAATGTTTTATTGTGATAAACCCATTGATTGGTTATTGGATCATTTAATTCACGTTAAAGTTTGTAATCCTGAGAAAAATGCTGTAAGTTGAAATATGCTTTCTTTAATCTTTTAAACACTGACTTCTGCCTCTTTCACCACATAATTTACCCTTTTCAACACTGACGTCTGCTCTTTTGACCACACAATTTACCCTTTTCAACACTGACGTCTGCTCTTTTGATCACATAATTTACCCTTTTTAACACTGACGTCTGCTCTTTTGACCACACAATTTACCCCTTTAAACACTGATGTCTGCTCTTTTGATCACATAATTTACCCTTTTAAACACTGACGTCTGCTCTTTTGACCACATAATTTACCCTTTTAAACACTGACGTTTGCCTCTTTCACCACATAATTTACCCTTTTAAACACTGACGTCTGCGTATTTGACCACATAATTACTTGATATTTACTTGAGCAGACTGTGAAGAGACAATGTCAAGTAATGTTAATGTCATTTATTTTAAGTAACATTACTTGGATGTGAACACTCAGGGTTCAAAGGGTTAATTTTTTAACCTAATATACACTGGAAGGTAAAATAGTCAGATAAAACTGTAAATTTTTGATATTTACTTGAGCAGTCTGTAAAGTGACGAAGTCAAATAATGTTTTACACATGTACCGTACATTTGACATCCTTTTTAAAGAGATTGTAGAGAGGTTTTCTAAATATTGTATTATACCATGGACACTGATATCATCAATTTGCATCATTCCAATTTTCAATCAGGTGTTTGTGGTTCCTGTTATGCCACTTTAACTAAGCATTCTATGATGTCACTATTTCAAAAGCTACTTATTATCAGTGTCCCAGATAGTTTCCCTTTAAGAATTCTTTGACAGGGTCTACCTATTACCCCTCTCCCTCGTTAAACCCCAATGGTGGTGATCAGGTCGTGTTTTTACAGGATCACTGTCGTAGAATGGTGATGGGTATGAGAAAGCGTTTTAAGCCGTCCTTATTTCAACATATTGGATTAAAATCATCTCTAGATGGCAAAATACAAAAACTTAAGGTGAGTAATTTCTCGTAATTCTTGTCTACTCTCACAAATACAGCAAATCAGACATAAATACTTGGAATTGACTGTATTCGCTTACGTACAATCCAATAAAATCACAGCATATGCAAACTTCAGTGATACAAGAATGGAGCTTAGCGCAGTTTGTAAAATCTTGACATTTTGAAAATGGGATAACTTATAAACTTCTTTTAATTGTTTTCCAGGATCGTGCCTTTGGTAAAAATGGTTTATACAGAGCCCATGTAAACCCGCCAGCCAAACTAGCAACCTCATTAAAAACTTACTTAACTTATACCCTGGTGAAAGCGTATGTGGGCGAGACGTTTTTCTGGGCCACTACACCCACAGATGGGGACATCATTGACTTCATTTTAACCCCACCTCAATTAGTAGAAAAGTAAGTCAAAGAAAGATATTTTGTGAGCCTAAAAACTTGAAGAGAAAATTACGCATTTATGTAGCTGTATAAATTCATTGACATACAAAATAATATCATTAAACCAAGTCCCCTGTGCACGCTACAGATCCCTCAACAGTTGGAATCAATCAATGAACAGAAAGCTGTCCTGGCAAAATTTCCCTCATTGCACACAGCATCGTGTCATTGCTTGTCTTCCTTAGCCCAAATCTGAAAAGTATGTAGAGGTTATGTATGTTACAGGTCCCTTGAGATAGGAAATTGACAAACAGTTGGCTGTTCTGGCAAAATTTCCCTCATTGCACACTGTATGGTGCTACCAGTCTTCATAAGTCCAATCAGGTGCTGAAGAGTAAGCACAAAACTCATTTCATTTCTTTCCAGCCTGGGTTACATTTCGTGCCTCATGTGAAACAGGCTATGTTGTTTAGATCTTAACAGTTGGAAATAAAAACAGATTAGTCTTGTACCACTGTTTTGGCAAAATTTGCTCACTGCACAATATTACCCAATCAAGTACAAAAATGTATCCATTTCAGTTCATTTCTTTTTTTTCAGAATTATATTTCGTTCCGGCAATAGTGAGCATTCTAGTGATATCTTCCAAGATGCATCCTTACAATTGTTATTTGACGAAGAATTTGATGCCAAAGTGGATGCTAGTCTTCCTTTAGACCCTGGGACTAAAACAATCGAGAAAAACTATATCATGATAGCATTATTTGATAAAGAAGGACACGTTGAAAAAACTTTACCGTCAACTATCGGAAAGATTAAAACAATACGTATACAATTTCATAAAAATACTGATAATTGGCTTGTCATTAGTGAGGTAGAATTAATTATATATTGTGATTTGGAAAAACAAAATGGACTCACTGCAAAATACGTTTTAGCAAAAAGGACTAGTAGCAAAATAAGTCTAATTGAAGTTAGCGGTTTTTCATTGGCTTTTATTTTTAATTTAGCACTTCAGTTAGGGTCTTAAGACAGCTTTCTTAAACATTTATCTGTTTGATGGCATTGCCAGCCAACCAATCGAATTCCTGCCTTCTCCAATGCAGACAGAAATGTCTCTTCATCTTATCAAGAACTTTGAATCTATTTTGCATGATTTAACTGTTACAAATTGTACTTAAATTGACAGACAAGCATCAATGATTTGTATGAAATCTGAATATTCACGTTTTTTTTCTTTCTATTTATAGATCATGATCAAGCAAAGAGAAGTTCCAGCATAGAAACTGATATATAATATTAACAAGGTCTTATCATGCAGAGAGTTCACATGAAAGTAGTTCAGGCCCCCGAATTCTCGAAACAATCTCAGCCCTAGGACGTCCTAGAATCAATGTTAGACGATAAGAACCTAGGACGTCCTAGAATCAATGTTAGAAGATAAGAACCTAGGACATCCTAGTGCTAAGATCATTTCGATTATACAGGCCCAGGTTTTTTTCTAACTGAACATACATGTTTTAGGATAGTTTCTGTGACAACTATGTATTATATCTTGGAAATTAGCTTACTGAAATTAGACGTTTGTTAAATAACTGGTAGTTAACAAATGTTATTGAATATACATGTAATAGTCTATTTATATGGTTTACAAAATAATGGAGAATTTTTGTGGTTTTAGCTATTTTTAAATGCATGAATCACCTTTCAGAATGGCATATGGGATGGCAACAGGTTTATCTACAATTAAACTGATATTAGTCAACTATGTTCCTTTTACCTTACAAAGGGATTCGTATTAAGATTAGTCAAAAATTATCTAAATCCTTAGGAAACATTTAGGGGTAGAGATCACTTTAAATAACGAAACACAATTATGTGTTACTTTGAGGCAGCTCATCTTTTTATCATCTTCACACTGCCAAGGTTTTATGAACTCTGCCTAATACCATGACATCATTAAACACATTACCTATGAAAGTTGTATGACACCCAAGCTTTTTAAATACATGATTTATCTCCCTGGTGAGAGTTGAATACTTATAGCCAATCAAATGCCTTATGGCGTCTATGATGGCAGACACGAACAAGTAGTTGTGCTGGGGACCATTCTGTCTTTCTGTCTAGGGCTTTGATTGGCTGTATTCACTTGTGTACAATGCAATCAAATGACAAAATTCGATATAAAAATAAGTAGTTACACTCAAAACCATATAGTTTATAGTCTTTCTGTCAAGGGCCCTGAATACGATCAATTCTCTGAATGTACTTGATACAAGAAAAGCATCTTATGAAGTCAAGGTATTAGGCAGAGTTCATTAAACCTTGGCAGTGTGAAGATGTGTTTTTATGTGCCTTAGAAAGAGTTATAGTTCTATAGAATATCTTAGTATTTAATGATATAACTGTAAATATCATCATTTGTATGCAATTGTAACTATATGTACATTGAAACACCAAGGGCTGTCGTTTGGACTGTATTTGACAGTCATGTTGGTTTGAACTCTTAAATTCTGAGCTTTTTTAAATTAAGAGAGTTTTACAAGGTTTACAAGGATAACAAAGATCCTGTCTACAAGTATGATCCCGGTTACCAGTTGGTCCTTGGCCAAACCTCTTGACATTGATATAACAAGGATAATAAGTTAGATTCACATGGGTTTCTTTCTATCAGTTGGTCCTTGGCCAAACCTCTTGACATTGATATAACAAGGATAACAAGTTAGATTCACATGGGTTTCTTTCTACCAGTTGGTCCTTGGCCAAACCTCTTGGCATTGATATAACAAGGATAACAAGTTAGATTCACATGGGTTTCTTTCTATCAGTTGGTCCTTGGCCAAACCTCTTGACATTGATATAACAAGGATAACAAGTTAGATTCACATGGGTTTCTTTCTACCAGTTGGTCCTTGGCCAAACCTCTTGGCATTGATCTTTCACAGATTAAACGTAACCATTTACTTTGACTAGTATTACAAGGAAGAGTTTAGACCAAGGATCAGCTGGTAGACAGGTTCCTAATGAACTTAAGTTGTTATCCTTGTAAAAATATTATTTAAGTGAATTTATCAATTAAAATCTTTGTTAATTTTATTATCTCAATGATCCAACTTTTCCCTGGCGCGAAACTTCTAGGCATTGATCTTTCATGGCTTACTTATTTCCATTATTGTGGATTTGTGTTGTTCTATAAAAATTATTTATAATTTGTTTGATATTTTGAAAATTTGTCTATTTATGTTAAATATATTGTTTTGTATGACTCGATGTTGTTAAAGGTTTTAAACAAGTTTTGAAAAAGTGGAAATTAAAATACAAGACTGGAAATATATCTGTATAACCTTTCGATTGAGGGCACAATTGGAACAGACGGAACCTGTTTAGAACCAACCAATAGAGCACTACCATGATGTCAGAGCATTTTGTATTTTTATATCACATTAAAGGGAGACAATCATCTATCAAAATCTCAGTATACTTCTAAAGCTTGGTTAAAATTTGCGTAGTGAAACAAATCTTCACAATGTCGAGCTATTGTCTAATACCTTGTCTGCAATAGCGTTATTTTTTTGTATTAAGGAAGTTTGTAAATCCAGTAATTTGATTGGATTGTACATTAGCGAATACAGCCAATCCGAGTCCTGACAATAAAACTTTATGTCTATATTCTTTCTGTCAAGGGCCCTGATTGGCTGTATTCACTGGCGTACAATCCAATCTGATAATCAAATTTACAAGTTTCTGGTTATTACTATAACAAGAGAAATAATTTGAAGACTGACTCCCTTTAAATGAAAAAGGCGTATCATGAAGATATATCATTTATATGAAAGTATCTTAATTTATTTATTTAAAAGATATTAAAGGGATTGTAAAGAGGTTTCCTCAACTTATTATGTGTATCAGGAATACTGATAGCATCAATTTGCACCATTCTAATTTTCAATTAGACGTCTTTGGCTCTTGCAATTCTAAGAAAACTAAGCTTTTAAAAACATCTTGGGCCTTGGCAATATTGAAAACCATAAAATACTTAGTTTTAGTAGAATAATTACTTAGTTTAATGAATATATCGTGTTATATAGAGATTCTATTATTTAGTCATGACACCAGTCCAACTGATGAATATATACACTTATTGACCATGTTTGAGAGTTTAAATTTTATGTCCATTTTAAGAGGTAGTATACCTTTAACAATTAAGAAAATTACTTAGCATTGTAAACTCTACTGTCTCTACACTCTCAGTATTATAATACAGCAATTATTCTTAAAGCCAAAAACATGTAAGTAGTTTAAATGTGAGAAAAGATGGCGTACAGTGTTTTGTGCGGTTAACATTGTGAATAAAAAAAGTAGTTGTAAAAACATTGTATAATTAAAGTCACGAAAGCACAGGTAGAGGTATAGTGTATGATGTGGGATTATTGATACTGAAAATAGAAGAAGTGAATACACTAGATATTGGTACACACATTATGTAGACGTGTAGATCTTCAAATTTCCATGGCAACAACAATCCCGCACTGTATGCTACACTACTTTGAAAAAATATTGCATACAATTTTTGTAACTACATAACGATCATGAAAGATTTGTGTATGATTTTAATGTTTATAGATTTATATAACTTACTAGTTATTCACTCATATATTAAAAAATATTATCAGCAAACACAGCACTTTTAGTCAGGTTTCCATTTTGTTTATTATAGTGCCATACTCTACTTATTCTGCTATGTATATTATTTATTGAGTTCACGCTTTTCTGTTAATCTTGATTAATTGGTTAATTGAATTACGTAATTTATGATGCAATTTGAAGTATAAGAATTGTGGAAGAACAGAATGTCAGATATTAGTTTTGAAAAGTGTTACAGTGATTTGATTGGATTATACGCCAGCGAATACAGCCTTCAACCTACAAAATGAAAACATCATCGCTTATGGTTTACAGATTGTCTGCTGAGGGCTGTGATTTGCTGTATTCAGTAGTGTATAATCCAATCAAATTGCTGCATTTACAAACTTTATTGATACATGAAAGGTGCCTAATGTAGTCACGGTATTAGATTGATATTCTAAAGATGATTGTAATAGTGCTAAGACTGTGCAATGATTGGAATTAAAGTATCAAGAGACAAGGGAGGTCATTCTTATTCAATGGATTGAAACGCACTCACTTTGAAACCTATCCTTACTGTTAAATTAATTTGTTAATGTGAATATTTTAGAGTTTTATATTTTATTGTGATTTAATTTTTTAAAATGTGTTCAAGGGTTAAGACTTTTTAATTGTACTGGTACAAATCTACACAAAATGTTTGAAGACTTAAATGTTGAAAGTATTTGAAAGAGGTTTTCTTACCATAGTATGTGTTTTAATGACAGTAATGCTTTTATTTGTAATATGGGCATGAGTCGCCCATGTGTATACAGATTGGTATGCATAAGAGCTTATCATATGTTTTGATATGCAATTCCTCGAGTACCTCTTGAATTATCTTTAGTTATCTAATCTTTCGAATGTATTGAATACCTTGTTTATATTTTATTACAATATCCTTTATTTCACTGTCCTTACTTACAATGTCCATAATTACAATGTCCTTTATTTCACTGTCCATTTCACTGTCCTTACTTACAATGTCCTTAATTTCACTGTCTTTTTTTCATTGTTTTTTATTATGACGGTAATGTTTTTTCACCGTCCTTATTATGTCTTCTTAATTTCACTGTCCTTAATTTCATTGTCCTTACTTTCATTGTCCTTACTTTCAGTGTCCTGGATTTCACTGTCCTTAATCTCATTGTCCTTTATTAGGATGTCCTTAATGTTTTATCCTTATTTCACTACATCCTTTATAACAATGTGTAAACAAGATTAATAAGATGCTAATTTTGTTAATAAATTTGATAAATCAAGCATGCCATCTTTATTTTGCTTTTATTTAAAAATAAGTATTTTAACCATTAGATGGCCTAAAAAAACTGACAACAGAATTGCATTTCACCAATCATTTTCGTT